TCCAGGGCAGGTGGGAATCGAACTCATGAGGAAGAGGCTTAAGCTTCTTTGTGTATATGAAATAATTGCACTTGACGTTATTTGAAAACGTAAAACCAGGATTTTGATCTAGGCACTCTGACCTTTTCCCTCCCCCTCCTTTTTTTTTTGAATGATTGCTTCTGGCTTCTAAGTCCCCCATTCTAGATAGACCGCTCATATTCATCCACTTTAGGGAACCCAGTGGCCCGAAAGAGGTCTCGTAATTATAAAGTAAATGTATACTCATACTTTTTCAGAGGACTTAACACCAGTTGACAGTGTGGTAGGGTGGGGGGAGAGTTAAGGTATCAGACTTGGAGGTTATTTAAGAAATTAATGAGTTTATAAGAAATTAAAGAGCTTTTGATTATACCTTGTGCTTGTAAATTACTTTTAACTACTTTGTAGTACGTTGAACAATTAAATTTACTCTACCCATAAGAGTAGTAGGAGGTGGTGATTTCCCAGAGTATAAAGACTTTCTCTATGCTGAATCTGAATGTTAACTTGGATTTTCTCACCTCAGATTTCAAGAGAATTTGTTTTTGGTGAAATTCAGTTCTTTTAGGGCCTTTGCTACCTACTAAGGCAATCATGTAAATTGCTTTGGAACAGTTTCAAAAATGGCCATGTCAGCTTTTATCATAAACTAAGATGAGAAACCGACAATGTGTTACATATTTGGGGTGCTTGCTTTCCTTGGATTTTTAAAAACTCTGTGAAAAAAAAAAAATGTGCTACAACCAAAAGCTTTATAGAATTCTAATCATAAGTGCATGTTTGTTCTTTGTTATTTTTAAGCAGCATATACAAACTTACACTACAGTATGGAGTATGTCTTCAGAGATTTGTTAGGTTTGAGAATCCATTCATTAATTTTGTTAATTGGACTGTTCACTATATTTGCAATTTTGCTAAAGATTGGTTTAATATTTTGCAAATGTGGCATTTGGTTTGTGTCATTATTTGAATGTGTGGGTACCTGCATCCACTTGTCTGCTAACACCTTAGTGATGGAGACTTGAAAACATTTTACGATATATAGGCTGGGTACACATGCCTGATCATGATTGTAACTTGAGTTCCTGTAAGGATATTCAAGAAACTGGTAACAATGATTGTCTTCTAGAGGGATGGCTGAGGTCAGGAGTAGGAAGGAACCTATTTGTCAGGTATCCTTCTGTATTAAAATTTTTTACTTTACCCTATGCAAGTATCACCTAGTCAAAAAATATTTAATTATTGTGAGCATCACTCCACCTTATAAAAAGTGATACTTTGCTAATATCATTAAACTGGGCGCCTTTATTCTCTACCACAGAGAAGAAAAGATGACAACTAATAGAAATACATTTTTGCCTTTCTTAGGCAATTCGCATTTTGGTCCAAGAGCGTCTGACACAGGATGCAGTTGCAAAAGCAAACCAAACAAAAGAGGTATGTATTTTTTAATAAATTCAATTATTAATGGTTTCTTCTAATAGTTTCATGACTTTTACATGCATGCGTAAAAATACCAATTTAGTTAGAACAAACCAGAGAATGGATAGTTGCTAGATTTTAAGTTTGAAGTTGCATTATTACATGCTTCAAGTGTACATCTCTTAAGAATGTGTGTGTCCCTTTAGTGAGACTGAATTTGTTTCTTAAGTAATTATATTCTGTTGCTAGGGGTCACTTTTTGGTGAAATATGAGCTTCATATTTCTTCATACCTTAGAGAAGCTAATAGTGGCTCATCCATAGTCTACCAGTGTGTACTACTGCAGGCTGTAATCAGCTGAAATTTGTTTAAAAGATTTATCCCTTTGGAATTAACTGGATTATTTTAACTAATTGCTGGAAACAAAACACACTTTACTAATTTCCTTTTCTTTCATAACATGTCAAGAAAAATTTAACTTGCCTGAGGTCACGTAGTTTAGTACTTGAGCTTAGGCAGTCTGATTTGTGAGCCAGTGCTCTTATGGCAGCTGGAAGTTTATGGCAGCTACTTGATGAGCCCAGGTCAAGGGTCGTAGAAACTATAAGAGAAGAGTAAGGCTCGGTGCAGGTGACAAATGCATCTTTTGAGTCCCGTTTTGTAGACTGAGAACTACTTTACTTCACATTAGCTACCACAAGTCCAGATTCCCATTGACTAGTAAGCAGTACCCGGAATCACCTACAGTTAGCAGCTGCTGCACCTAATATGCCTCCTCTCCTGCATAGATGTTACAGTAAGCACCACCCCACTGTTCTAGGCTCTCGTTCTTTTTTGCCCCTCTGAAGTGACTTCTAACCACTTTTTCTCAGACCTGACACTTAAGAAGTTTCTAATGCCAAGGCAGTATAGGTCCTTCTGAAAGACACTCCCATTTCTTCTAAAGGGTCTTATTGTGTGTGAATCAGACCACTCAATATTGGATAAAAGGCAAACTTATTTCAAACCACATAGGAAGAGACAGTAAATTGTCCTAGCATAATAAAATCATTCAGCAGTGCTCTGTGGGCAGCATTGCAAATAAGGGCATATACAAATCACTTCCTCTTGTGTGCAAAGTAAAATTTTCAGTGCTTCAACTAAATTTATCTCCAGTTACCATGCTGTTTATAGTAAGCAGAAAAGTTCTTAGACTTGAGTGTTGTAACCATAACACAGGCATTTTCAGGGGTACTTGCCCCTTGATAAGACAAGGGAAAGGGGTCTGTTTTTTTATAACAATTTGTTTCTTCATTTATATAGATATTAAAGCAGATAGAGCCTAGGTAGATTTGCATTAGACAGTAATTGAATAGTGACATTCATAACAGTATAAATAGTACTTTCACTGGTAATTATTGTGTCCACTACAACCAGCAGAAAGTCTAGATTGCTTATCCTTTGATAATTGTGAGTTAATTCTCTAGTTCAGCAGCATCATAGTCAAAGCTAATAATAACCATAGTCACTAGCTATTGGTTAGCTAAATGGTTTAGAGTAATCATTAAATTTGTGCAATTTGTAAGGACTGAGAAATAACCTTGAAATTAATATTAAGTCAATTTGTGCTATACACTGCTACTAAAGGGAGCTATTTTATTTGCCTGGGTTGATGGAGCTAAATTCCCAGTACACGAAAAATATCATTGGTTTGAAGAGAATAACTCTCAGTCCCCTTGCTAGACAAGGTTAAAATTGCTAACTGCTTTTCAGTTTCAGATGAGAAAAGACTTATTTGTAATGAACTGCTTTTCAGTTACAGATGAGAAAAGACTTATTTGTAATGAAATTCTTCTTTTAAAGGGCTTACCTGTTGCTTTAGACAAGCATATTCTTGGTTTTGACACAGGAGGTAAGTGACTTTGATCAGTTTTTAGAGATGGGGGACCTGTATGAGGAAATGGTCTTAAGTACCAAGTTATTAATTATTGCAGTGTTTCTTATAAAACAGATGCAGTTCTTAATGAAGCTGCTCAAATTCTGCGATTGCTACATATAGAAGAGCTCAGAGAGCTACAGACAAAAATTAATGAAGCCATAGTAGCTGTTCAGGCAATTATTGCCGATCCAAAGACAGACCACAGACTGGGGAAAGTTGGAAGATGAACATTTTTAGGATTTCAGCATCTCGCCTACTTAGTACCATTGGGAACTGTGTACATTCTGGCATGTGTTTGGAAATCAACTGTCACATTTTCAAGGGAGGAATCCCAGAAAATTGGCTATGTTCTAGAGATTTACCATCATTGCTTTTTCTTTAATAAAGTTGGGAAAGTGGATTGTTTTTGACTGTTATTTGTTAAGTCCTTTGTGGTTACAAGTATGTGCCATAGAGACAATGCAAATCATAGGAAAACCTTAAAATATTTTATTGGATTAACATAGAAATTGGGAACTGTTACATCTTTGGCATTTATAAATGAAGTAATTTCTGTGGGTAATTCTATAAAGGAACTTAAAAGGATCAGAAAATACAAATTGAAATATTCTAGCACCTTTCAGTATAAATAGAAAGAGGTAAAAAAAAGTCTTACAACTTTTGCTGGGAAGCTCTCTTGGTTCCTTCCCATTCAGTCCTGCATTGCATTCTCTGTTGAGGTTTATGATCTTTACGATTGGACTTTGTACTGATCATATGTGCTTTAATTTCTTGGTGAGAAAGAGTTCATAGCAAAAATTAATTTAGGGTTTTTAGCTGAATGAATTTGATGTTTGCGAAGTTGCTTTTTAAAATACAGTAGTAAAGATTGAGGTATAAACTTTTCACAAAATATACTTAGTCTTTTTGTACTGTATGTCCAGGAACTTCTAATGGCCGATTTACTTTCTTCACCTTTGTTTTTCAGTAAATGTATTTAAACTCCAAATCCTTTACATGCCATATTTACTTTCTTCCTGCCAAAGTGAAGGTTAAAAGTAGATGTTAAAAAAAGGCAGCAGACTTTCTGTTGCATAGGCTGAAAGTAGTATAAAGGCTGGTTGCTAGCACGTTTTGGCCTTTAAGTTGGAAAAAGTGGTTCTCACTGGTGGCAGTGGCTATTAACTGGGCTAAATTAGAGAATCATTTCCCAGGTCTATCCTTTTCTGCCCTACTTTTCCATAGGCACAGCATGCTTACCTGCTGGGCAGTAGGGGTAGACTGCAGTTATCCCGTAGAGATGAGACCGCTGCTCTGGGAGATACTCGTCAATAAACTGGCCACTGTCTCTGTTTATTGATATAACACCATCCCTGGTAACAAAGCAGTAGTGAGTTCATTGGATTTTAGGTCAGATAGGAAAGTCCATTTCAGCAGAGAACTATTATTTTATGCCAACCTTATAGAAGCTTTTTCAAATTAATAACCAAGTGAGTTTTGACTGATTTAGATTCAGAAGATCGATCTTCAAATGTTAGAAATGCAAAGTTGTGGGCCCGACAGAGTCAGAATTTTCCAGGATGGGACCCAGCAGTGTGTCTTAATGAGTATAACTCATCCAAATCAGTGGTTCTAAAACCCTAGCTGCACAGTAGGAGCACGTGAGCCATTAAAATACCGATGCCTGGGCATCTAGGCATACCAGCAGGGTTGGTAGGCCAGTGGTAAAAGGCCTTAGAGACTTTCTTTTTTTGTCATGTTTTTAAAAAAATGGAACCATATACCTAGTCTATATCTCATCACACCACTTAGCGAGTAGTCATATTCTATGAAATTTAATGTACTCTTTCTGGATAGTTGATTTACCAAATGTGTCTGCCTATTTTATAAGGAATACCATTGAATTTTTGAGTAATGTAAAATTATGATTTTAAAAGATGACTTTAAAAGCAGTAACATTGAATGTTTTCTACTGAAGAGATGGTGAAGTGAGAACTTATATGTCACTGACATCTGGTATGTCCTCCAGAACAGCCTGCTTTGTCAGGCCAGTCCAGAGTGTGTTGGGCTCACCTCCTCCAATCCGTGTGGTAGAAGTGGTCTGCGTAGCTGACAATACTGAAGGGGTAGTTGAGGTTGTTTTGAATGACACGTCGTCCAGTTCCATCAGGAAGGGTACATTCTAGCTTTTTCGTTCCTTTTAAAACATCGGGGGAAAAATGAGCACGTTCATGCAGTGAAAATAAAAAGCTTTGTCATAATAGTTGCAGGTAGCATTCTCAAAGGAAACTATTTTATTCGAATTTACAGTCAATATGGAAACTAACATTTCCTACTCTATTGTATCATTGAGTAAACCGAAATCTTGACAGTTTAGTCGGGTTTACTTAAGTAGGGCATAGAGATGATTGTCAAATAGGGCATCTGGATAAGAACTTGACCCTTGTAAGCAACATATAATAATAGTCAAGGTTGCCTTTAAACTAAAATCCTGATTTTTTTTAAAGAATAATTTTCAAGGTACAAATAAAAAATAAAATGGTTTCATGGCTCATTTTTTCAATGTAAAGGAAGCAGTCTTGCAATTTTTATAGTAGCTAAACAAACCAAGAATTTCTCTTGAGTTCCACACTTCTCATGGAACCCTGATTTAAAAATCAAACATTTTAAAATGTACCTGTGTTGCTTAGATGCCCATCTGCATGGTTAGTTCCTTTTAGATTATGAATTCATTAAGAACAATCTTGCATTCTTTCATATATAACTTGCTACATACCATCTTTTCAGTTGTGCTAATAATTCAATCACAACACTTAGATAACCTGGATATTGACAACCCAGATTTCTGAAGGAAGCAAATCGTACTATATAAACTTAAAAAAAACTCAGCATACTAGCCTGCTCATTGTTACAATAACCGATATTTATAAATATTATAATGGCAGGGGAAAAAAAGCCTGTTCATTTAAGTTTTACAAAATGCCCATTATAAAAAATATAGTAAGTATTCATGTTGGGGGACTGGCAAGTAATACAAAAATGAGATCGTACAGACTCCAAATTTTACTGCCTATTCAGTCTCTCATAAACACCCCCAAGGAATATATTTTAAAAGAATGCTTTGTAGTGACTTCAAAGTTCACAGATAAAAGCATTGGCCATGTACTGTGGTGGTACATATTTAAGCGAGAAGTTCTAAATAATGGAATTTGGTTTTATTATATCTTGAGAGGGCTCATATGCACAAATATGAAGCCTTCTATGTTTATGTTTCATCGTTAGTGTTACCTGCATCTGCCCAACAAAGCATTTTGGAGAAAGGGTCAAAGGTTAAACCATTTGGTAGTCCAATGTCTTTGTTCACCAAAATTCTTCTGTTTTCACCATCTAAAGATGATGTTTCAATTTTAGGAGCTTCTCGATTCCAGTCTGTCCAGTACAAGTTGCTGTGGGTAAATGGAATAGACAAATATAGATCTTAGTGTGTAGAACCCAGTGTTCAGAACACAATTAAGGCTTTTCACTAATTATTTTAGTTTAAAAAGACTGCTGCAAATTAAAAGCGTTTCTTATTTGAGGATTCTCTGGATTTCTTTTGGCAGAAGCCCCATTAGTTATGACAAAAGTGTCTTCAGTTAAAATCCTTCTGTGTTCTAACAAGCACTATAACACTGACCACCTCCCATTTGATAACTACCTGTAGTAACTTGTGAACAAGAAACACTTTTCACTGACTTTGGCTACAGTGGAAATGGGTTCGGGAAAGAATGCTGGTATCTGCGTTTTGCTTTTTTTTTTTAATAGCCATTTAAATGGAGGTGAACTTTATGGTGATATCAACACTATGCTTTTCTACTAGATTGCTGAAGGAGGTCTACCTCATCTAGTTTGTGATCTTTAGCAGGCTCCTAGTCTGATCATCTGATCCAGTCCCTCCATGTCCTCTCTCTGAATGTACTTTTTTTTTTTTGGTCACTGAAGAGGCTGCCTTGTTGGACTGCACTGTGCATGTTTTTGAACCAATGGTCAGTGCAAATAATTGTTTATATTTAGTTTACAGTCTTGCTTCCTCCTAATAGAATGTCAGTTCCAAGAAAGAGTAAATTGAACCTTCTCTTTGTCCATAAGAATATCTGACATCTAGTAGGTCTTTAGTAAATAGTTAATGCAGTTGAGCTTTCACTCATCTGACCCTGCCCACACCTCATGTAAAATGTAAGGATTTCCAGTCAGTCTCTACAAGTAATAGAAATAGATAAGCCCAGCTGACCCTCGGATTGGATCCACAGCGATGGCACGGGGGTTCACAAGGTCGGTGTGGAAGAGGACCTTGCGCTCAGAGCCATCTAGCTTGGCTTTCTCTATTTTATCCAGACCACTGTCCGTCCAGTACATCGTTCTACGGAAGTGATCAATGACAAGGCCCTCAGGGCTTATGAGACCTGGGAATAAAACAAAGGCAGAATTGACACATTTGCTGGGTATGGAAGGCAAACATGAAATGGGATCGATCAATTATATGATTGATTAAGGGGTCTATTATTTGAAGAGGTCTGAGAATCTCTAAAGCACAAGAACTGAGTTTAGACATGGCAGAAAAATTTCTTGTTATCTCTAGACTAACAGGCCTGCCCACTTTATGACACTTGGCACTGACAGTGTGGGACCAGGCAATATAAACTATGACCACTCTCTGAATTCTTAACTGTCTGTGAGCCCTTGTTGTAGAGAAATAGGGTTTCAAGAGGAAGAGCTCACACAACTGTCTCATTCCCCATGGATGAAGGTGTTTATTTACAAAAGGATTGGTTTGTTTAGTTCAATAAAGTGATTTGCATAGAACTTAAACCCCCTCGAAAGATGAAAGAAGAGGTAAAGCTTTTTTATTTAAAAAAAAAAAAAAGGCAAATAACTGGGAGTTAGTAAAATCATTTGAAAGGGTCCTCTGGGTGAAACTGCTGACCTGAATTAATGATCGTCTCTGGCTCTGCTCCTGGTTCCAGACTGGCACGGCTAATTGTCCGCCCGGCAACATCTGTCCAGTACACCATCCTCTCCCGGCAGTCATAGTCAAGTCCCACGACTATCGAGCCCTTCGTGGACCAAAACACATATTGAAGAATTAGGATTTCCCATAGTCTGTTCAGCTGCCTTTCTCATGGCTGCCTACAATGAACGCCCCTGTACAGTATTGTCTTGGGTAGTGAAGGCATGGTTCAGACATGTGGATGGTAGAAGTGGCCTTTCTGGGACCAAAGCTGGGCTCAGATACTAGCTCTATGTATGACTTTGGTGCTTAACCTCCTTGCCTGGTCTCACCTACAAAGTGAAGATAACAGCACCTATACTTCATATGGCTACTATAAAAATGAATGTAAACACTTGAAAGGGTCCCAGTCAGAGCATAGAATGCACTAATAATGACTACTGGTGGTGGAAGTGGTAAGAACAAAGGTAATATAATGATAAACTTCAGCCTTTTAGTGATAGGAGGTCAAACAGCAGTCTCACCAAAGTCCTTAATGTTTTATCAGGTTCAAACTGATTCCTTTCAATGTCATCAGTACTTTTTGAAGGAGCCTTTCTAAAATCTGCCTACATATATCAAAATCCAGTCTACTATCCCCATCCCTATGAGAGTCTCCCTTAACCTAAGGTACAGTCACTTTGCTTCTACTACTACTAGAGCTTTCATGAAAAAGCAGATCTGAAATGTGATGGGCTAAACAGTCGGGGGATGGTGATCACCCAGCCTCACTGATGATCTCTCACACCTCCTTCCGTGTTGCTAAGAAAATGAATAAATGAATCTGTTGTGAATACTGAGCCTGATATTTCTTTCTAAAACTCCACACACTACTTGCTTCATTCAGTTTCCAACTCAGACTGCTCCTTCGAGAAGCCCAGCAAGTGTGCAGAGCCTCCTCGAGCACCTGACTTGTGCCTCTGGGAAAGTGCAATTTGTATGGTGAGAGCTGACAGTCAAGTACAATTTTGCTTGAAAAGATGTCTCCCTTGGCAAGAGCACACTTTCACATGGGCTCCCATGGAACCCATTAACCCATGTAATGACTTAAAGAGTTCCATGGGGAAAGCTGACATACATTTCCCCAAGATGTACTTATATTCCATGCTCTTATTTCTCTCACTTCCATCACCACCACCCCTGCAAGTTCAGAAATTAAGTCAAATCGTGACTAGGTGGTGTGGAGTAATTCTGAGTTCTTAGTTTCTGCCTCTTAAGAGAAACTCACAAAACAGCTTGCTACTGTTTGTCAAACACAAACTGAAATCTTGAAAGGGAGGTATTTTTGGCACCAGATAGGAATTAAGTGTCTTGGAAACTGACTTTAAGCAAAGCAACATTAAAAACATTGATGTTAATTCAGTAAAAAAATATATATATATTTTAAGTAGAAAGTTTCTCCAATGTTTTGTTCAACATCGACCATATTCTCATTAACATTACAATGAAAAAATGTATATTGCAAGCTTCAGTGCTTTCTGTGCAATCTCCATTTTAAAGGGAAATCCCTCTTCCAAAATGGAGAATCTTGGCAATAGGGAGGCTGGTGACTCAAGAAGTGGTGAGCACCTTCTAGGGAAAGCTCAGTCTACTCCTTTCCTTAGCATCATGCTGTCTCACCCAAATCTTCATCTCTGAAGGAGTCAGAAGGAAAGACTGATCCACAAAACCAAAGTGGGGGGGGGGGGTCCTCAGCCTCCACTTGGGATTCTCAACTGATCGCAGAAACCACCCCCTGCACATGGTCTTCTGGTCGCTTTGACTTCCAGGATTTCTAGTGATTTCTGGCATGGAGAGAACCTAGGGACTTGGTTAAGCTGTTCATTTTCTCTTAGATCACCATCCTCCATATCCTGACAACTCTGAAATTCCACTTACCAGAAATCATGGGTCAACTTGAGAGAGTGGCCTTGGTCAGCCGTGACTCCAAGTAGCAGAGTTCCATTTTGTATGGGGATGGTGTCAGGCTCGTGAAGATAACGACAGCCCAGAAATGCTCCAGACTCTCCTTCCTGAGGCCCTTGCTAGAAAGATGACCCACTCTGGGCCCCCAGAAAGCCCCATACAGACCCACTCCCCAACAAGAGAAATCCACCTTACATGCAGTGACAGCAGGGCCTTGGCAGCATCCTTCTGAAGCCTGGTGCCATTGAGGGGCAAGTGGCCTATCTGCTGGCCCTGGGCATAGAGCAGGAAGGTGCCCACAGATGGAGGCGTCACATCAGGCCGGGGTGTGGGCCGGACCAAGGGTGGAGCCACCGTGGGTATACCTGGCATGTGTAAGCAGGGGGAGGGTATGAGAGAAGAGAAGAGCACAGTGGTGGGGAGAGGGGAAGATAAGTCCTTGACCTGCATGCCAGAGCCTCTACAACATCAAAAGTTCTTCACCCTAGACAGATGTGCTCCAGATGTTCTAATTTCTAGCTCCTCCCCAAGGATCATTTATGTAAATCACTGCCAGTTACAAAGAGGGAAGACAACAAAACATTTCCCTCAGAACAAAGCAGAAGATATTTTTTTCACTTTAAAGGAAAAAAACAGCTAGCTAGAATTGTGTTAGCTTTTCTTTGGGACCCCAGGGTGAGACAAGTTCTTTTCCACCCCAGGCTGGGGAGGGGGCGTAATTGCATATTTAGCTGAGTTCCAGATGTTCTAATTACAGAAACTGCTAAAGACAAAAGCATATATTAAATCCAAATTGGGATCTTGACCAGATTATGAATCAGCACACAACACATTACTTCCTGTGGCCCACCTCCCCCCAGTGGGCAGCTTCTGTACAGAAGCACCTCTGGTGCCTCTGAGGTGAGGGCCGTTAGGGTGCTTACATGCAGGGGTGCTGCCTGGCTGGGAGCGGGTGCCTGGCACCTCTCTGCCGTCCTTGTCCACACACCAGCAGAAGTCACTCTTCCCGTGGCACTGCAGGGGGCTGAAGTGGCCCAGCTCATCGCACTGGGGCACATACTGGTCATCCCGGGGTGGGCCGCCATAGTGCTCCAGCAGGCTTTCCCTCCAGCGCTCACAGACGGTCTGGGGCCTCTGGGTGGGCTCTGAGCAGATGTGACACAAAAACCTTTGATTGTGAGCCAAGGACAAAATGCATCATGCAGATCAAGATCGCCCTTGCCTGGCCACCTGGTCTTCCTCCTACTGTCCATTAACAAGGTCCCAGCCAAACACCTGGATTTTGGACCAGAGCATAGACATGCTCAAAGTTTCCCTTGAGAATCAAGAGGAAGGGGTATCCTCATGGGGAGGACTTGTCATCAAGGCCATCACGTCAGGACGGAACAGGGTGCACTTAGCCTGGGGAGGGGACGATCTCACTTAGGCCAGGAGAGGCCCATGCACACCACCTCTCCTGGGACCCAGGCCTCTGTTGACAGCACTTGTGGATACTGTCCTTGGGGACTCAATGGCCTGCATGTTGCTTAAAGTCAGTTCTTATTTTCCCACTTGCTTCCAGCCTGATTCTGCAAGGGCTCTCTGGGGACCAGCCAGTGTGTGTCTTGGGACACATGACTGGATGCCATCCTTCTGTGACACTTGGCCTCTGACCATTGGGAAACCACACTGTGTGTGAACATAATGGCAAGCACCTTAGCATTGAGACCCTAGAAGGCCTTGGCCACCTGCCCTTGGGTGATCTCAAAGCTCAGCCTTTTTCTGCAGGCTCCATCTGTCCCCTTTACCCTAGCACCTTCCCTCTCCTCCCTCATACTTAAAACTTCTGTAACTTTTCTCCCACAGCAGTTTCTCTGCCTGCAGTTTTCTTGACAACGGCTTCCATGGGACCACTGAGACTTGGTCCCAATGTCTGTGCTGCAGACTATAGAAATAATGTGTTCAGCCAGCATGAAGGGATTCCCAAAGGGAATTAAAGTAGAAGGTGTTTCTTTTAAACTCTTGCAACTCAAAGCCTGTGTGTGTAGAATCACGGCAAGTTACCACCTTGATACCAACATTTGGATCTATAAGTCTCAGAGAAGAGCTGACAAAAACTGTGTCTCAAAGCTATTATCCTCTCACCCTGTCCCTATCAGTAAATTGCAGATTCATCTTTGCATTGGTCAGGTCCAATACTTGACTCTTCCTCCCATGCTCCACATCTGATATTTCAAAAGAATCACATCAGCTCTACCTTCAACTTACATTCTAAATATCTTCACTTTTTACCTGTCTAATCCATTCCCCTGGTCAAGCTCCCATCACCTGGTGCCAGGATGGCTACAATAGCCTTCTTATTGGCTCTCCTACTTATCCCTCTTCTCACCTCAGTATAAGCTCAACCATGGTGCAGCCAGAAGAACCCTCTAAGGCACAGTCATTTTCTATCTTCTTTGGTCAAAGCCTCCAGTGTCTCAACCCAATAACAAAGTTGGAAACTATTCATTTGGGTTCAGCCCTCACAACTCCTTCTAGGAAAGCAGGAAGGTGGTGAATAAAAGCCTCAGAGCCCAAACCTACCACAAAACACACCAGGTCTGAGGGGCAAATACCTTCCAGTTTGCCTCTATAGCTCATGACACATGAAAAGCGTATCTCTCTTTAGAAAACCACAGAGAAAACAAGAGTCTGATATTCTCATCCAGTTGTGTCTCAAAGAATCCAGAAAGGAAAATGCCACTTCCTCAAACAGTTGCTAGCCACTGCAAGGTGGGATCCCTGGCCAAATTCCCAGTGCCGCGCAGGTCGACGTTCTGAACTCAGAGCAAACTTTCGCCATCCAGGTGACCACCCGGTGAGGCTCATTTCTCTGGGATGCAGACACAGCACAGACAGCCTCTAGGAAATGCTACCTCCTGTCCACTCGTGTGGGCATCCCATGCCTGTTCCTTACTATTTGGAACTACTTCTCAAGCCAGCCATGAATCTATTTCTCTCCTGTTTCTGGTTGGCAAGCTTTAAGGTACTTTGAGACCCTGGGCACAATATGTTCTGTCCCCCTGCAAGCTGACCCCATTATGCAGATGAGACTCATCAGAAATGGCAGCCAAGGTCCAACCAGTGCCAGGGGAGAAATCTGGGCCATGGGAAAGTCTGTACCCAAGAACGAGTCCCTCTTCTAGTCATTAACTTCTCATTCTCTTGGTTCCCTTTTACATCATTGTCCTTCACACAAGCTTGTCTTAATAAATTTAATAGAATTCTGAGCTGTTGCCTGAAGGCACCTCCCAACCATCTGATGTCTTCAAATTCCAGCTGGAATTAGAACTGAAACTTAAAGAGTAGGCATGAGTGAAACAGGATTTCTCTGTATTTTTTCAGACCTGCAAAATCTTTTCCCAAAAATAGGGACAGAGAGGAACTAGGAGTGTCACCGTGGAAACCAGTGTATACACCTAGATCAAGCATCACAAATTCATCTACAAATCTTAGATGAATCTTAGAATCCACAATGGCCTGGCCATCAGTTCACACAGAATGGATTGAATTGGTCAGTGATTCTCCAGCTATTCTTACTCTCATTAAAAGCCAAGATTAACATTTATTGAATCCTTTTCTATAGTGGAAATGGCTCTTTGAACAGCAAGCCTGTGGATATAGGAATCATTTTGGCTAAAAGAGTTACACATTACAACTCCTACATGTTCATAGTAAAGTTCTTCTGAATTCAAAAAAGAAAGTTCTTCCTGTTTTAGAATAAATCCAGAGAAACTTGCCTTGGCAACCTGTGGCTGACATGAACTGTGAGCCCTTGACATGTCAAGCATTCAGGCCACTGGAAGAGTGCCCGAGTCTCTCCAGAAGGTGGCTGGGCAACTGGGATTCCCTGGTGACATGCTGAACCCAGCTACAGTGAAGATCAACTCAAGGCAAATTAGCCAGATTCACCCAGAAGTGAGTTATTTTTCCTGTTGACACTAACATAGACTTCACACTGTTCCCTGCAGTTCAGAAGGCAGAGGTAAGGAGCAGAATGTTACATGAGAAGGCACATCTTCTAGACAAAAGGCTGAATGGCAAGATCTAGCTCAAAGCTTTCCTTAAGCTGCCATAAGAGAGCCTGAGCTACAGCCTCAGCCTGACTTGTAGCTCAGTCTGACGTGAAGGTGTGACAGCTGCGACTTGTGTAACAGTAATCCCCAGGGAATGGGGAGGTGATGCGGGAGGTGTCTGGGAAGGAAGAAGATCAGGAAGAGAACTTGGAGGAGGCACATGGAGCACAGAGAGGTGAGGAAGCCACACTTGCTTTTTGGCCTTGGACTTGGGGGACAAAGAAGGAGACATTTAAAAGAGGCAGAGACCTGGGTGAGCGATCTGTGGAGGGCTGACAATGGTAGCCTTTATCTTGACTTGGGTTTTGACTTTGCTCTTTTCCTTCCAGACCTGCCTGACCCTTCGCTAGGGATCCCCATGAGAAGGTCCCTTAGACTTGTGAAAAGCTTTTGGGCCTCAGTGCATTGGGCAGCCAGCCCTGTTTGAGCATTTACCCACAAGAGGGTGGATAATTTAGGGTGTTTAAGTGGAAACTAGTTTAACTATATCCTTTCCCTTCTCTTTATTGCACACTAATTGTATTAAAGTTATTTTCCATTGAAGGGTTTATACACTAGAGTATGTTTTGTCTTGATACAATAGATGGCAAAAACCACATAAAAGCATGCAGATTTGGGGGTCCCGGAATGCCCCTCCTCCTGCCTGACAATACTCAGAGAGGTGGCTATGAAAGGATGGCACTCAGTTCTGAGATGGTGTGGGCTGGGCTTACCACCCACCGCCATCAGTCTGCCGGTACAGACTTTTCTACTGGTTGGCTCACCTGGTGGTGGTCCGCAGTGCGGTGGGGTGGAGCCAGGCGGAGTACGGGTGCCTGGGACTTCATGACCGTTGGGGTCCACACACCAGCAGAAGCCAGTGCTGCCATGACACTGCAGTGTAAGGAAGTGGCCCTGGTCGTCGCACTGAGGGATGTGGACCCGGGTGCCAGGATAGGCGTACTGGGCCTGGGCCATGTGGCGCTGGTATTCACAGGGTTTCAGTCCCGGGGCAGGGTCTTCTGGTACCAGGGCAGAGAGAGGGAAAATAAGAGACACTGCAACGCAGCCACTTTCACCAGCCAGACTTGGCCTGCCAGGGTAGTTTTCCTATCACTGGAAGATAGCATGGTACAGAGAAAAGAACAGGGCTCGGGTCTTAGAGTTCTGTATTCTCTCTCTAGCTCTTCCTGTTGCTCATTTCTCACTGATTCTCTGTCTCTAGCGGACTGACTATACCATAGAGCAGCCCCTCCCTCAGCCCTCAGGGTTCTATTGTCATCAGGTAAAATGAAGAGCACCCCCTGGCTTCCACCCAAACATCCCAAGAGACTCCTGAGAAAACAAGTAAATCCCTCCTCCCAGCTCACATTTAATAAGCTCGATACTTCACTATATCCATCTGTCAAGGCAGGGCAGATGTTGGGTAGTTAACCAGAATAGCAACTACCATCGTTGGTGATGCCCCGAGTCTCTCAGAATGCTAATCGCCAGCAAACTATCTGTAAACTAGGCAGAAGGTAACAGAAAAAAAACCCAGAGCCTAAACAATTCACCAACATGCTCTCAGACCTGGACAAATCAGCTAAAGTGCTGCAGAAAACACTCCCATCTCCTTCCATTCTATTTCTGACCTTCCAGCTCTTACCGGGTATGCACTGGATTCCATCCCCCTGGTATCCAGGGTGGCAGCGGCAGGAGAAGGAGCCAGGGGTGTTGTAGCAGGTAGCGGAGGGGTGACATCTGTTTTCCAAGCATTCATCAACATCTGCAGGAGTCGGGGAGGGGAAGAAAGAGAGTGTGATGTCACTGCCTACAGTATGCTGTTACATGGCCTCAGGACACATGCTTCAGTGAAGGAAACTTCAGGAGGCCTGTGGTCAAGAGCAAAAAAATGCTGACTTGACAGGCAAGCTTAACAGTTAAAAGATGGGGGGGGGGGGTGGCTGTGAGTTAATAACAGATTAAGAACGTGCCGCATGGAAATCAGATGTGTGGTCACTAACAGAAAAATACCCTACGCCTGCCTCTAGTGTATCTCATCTACAGTGAATTCCAGGAAGTTGTTACCCTTAGACCAACCTTAAGACCATAAATCATTCACTTCCTTTCAGTAGCACTACAATAACGATAAATATAGGCAACAATGGGATTTTTGCCCTTTTATTGTTGACATCATCTCCCTATAGATTCCTAGATGCAAATCAGCCCACAAGGCCTGCCAATTATTTTTTCAACTAATCAGAAGCACATTCATTCCTACCAAATCAGGGTTCTATTACCTAGAATGCCCAATTAATCAGATTTTTTTTTTAACTTTCCACCTTTGGAAGTAATGGAAAGTTTTTGAAAATCTAAAACTTTCAGGCTTAGCTGTCCAAATAAGTCTGTTTTTTTTTTCACTGTCTGCAAAGTACCCTTAAAGATTAACTTTCAGATTTCTCAAAACTGTAACCACCTGAAACTTCAAACAAAAGCCAATTTATAGTTCTTTTATCTACTGAAATCAACATGCATCCACAATAGTCAGGCATGTATCACCACCACCTCCACCACCACCCTGGCTAAACAAACCCTGAGAGTGGAAATGTTAAGAGCAATGGTTGAGATAAGCAAGCTCTGGAGACAGGAAATCTCCAGTCAGAGGGAGACTAATGGTGGAGGTCTGATCAAGGTTCAACTGAAGAGTCACATTCCTTGATAACATGGGAAAATGCTGTAAAAGTGTGTGAATAAGAATAGATGTGGGATGGGATGATAGAGTGAACCTTCAACGGGATTCCTGGAGCTCTCCCTAGTGAAGCAACTCGTTAAAGCTTAGCCAGGGAAGCTATCCACTTCAACGCAAGTTCAAACTCAGCCAGGGAGGTGACCCACAAGGGCAGCAAACCTCTCCTGTCTCACCCTCCGCTCCCCTCAGCAGTGTACTTTGATGATCTCCCTGTTCTGCTCCACTCTGTCTTTGGTGAACCCTATCACCACCCCTGCATCACTGGTCTATAACTCAATACTGTATACATAAATAAATGAATCTTAAAAAAAAAAAGGGGGGGGGAATCCCAGAAGTGAGCTGCATTAACTCACAAAGCCCATGGCAGGGACACACGTTGGACCCAGGAACCAGAAACCCTGATTTGAGCAGGAATGAACTAGGTTATGACAAAGGAGGCTCCCCTCCCCCCAGACTCCTGTGATCAGGGTGTCTCTGGGAGGATTACCCTACAGCCTTGCTATGACCATACTGTCACTAAGACACCTCCCATGACTCAGGGGCTCCCCAGGAACTAGTAAGGGGAACAGACATTCTGTTCACCAAAGATGAATCACTTACACTGTAATTAGCAAGTTAGCAATCTGTTTATCTTCAGTATCAGGGAAGTTTTGTCAATATAAATTAGTTCCCTTCAGTACAAAAAATTCCTAACTGTTCTTAACAACTACATTTAATGCCACCTAAGGAGTTGCGAAAGGTTGGCCAATGGTCACCTTCCTTTCGATCTACAAAGGAAAGAAGGTAGTTAGAGACTTCTGCAAGGTCAAAGCAAACAAGGTGTTCTGATTAGCTCCTTAGATAACCAAATATAAGTAATTACAATAACAAAAACCTATCTGCAATCTAATCAATGTGGGTTCTACACTGACTTGGCTCTCTTGATCTGGATAACTTGAACGCCCATTTGGGCACAGCTGGTGATCACTCAATTCCTGGACCTGGAAGAAGCTGTAAAACTGGCTGTAAAACCAAAGCTATAAAAATTAACATCCAGCCAAATACAGGAAATTAAAAGCTTTTCATGATACATATGCTGAAAGTACTTCTAAAGGTAACAGGAACACCAGGCAATGAGAGGAAGCAGGAATTCCTGAGACACAGGGCCTATTTCTAGAACTCTTGGAACAGTTTCTCATGATTATTTTTGAACTAACAAAGAGGGGATTCCCCAGAGCTACCAAGTTATTTATGTTCTTGAAGTCTACAGCTTAAGAATTCTGTAAGCCCTGGAAGAAGAGCCATTCATCCCACAAATATGAAGTCATGGGGAGACAATGTCTGCTTTGAATACCCACTGAGGAAAAAGTCCCTGGAGAGACTGAATGCATCACCAGTGAGTCATCCCTGTCCCCAAGGAGCTGGAGAACGAGGCTGTGAGGTGCAGTCCCTGGCACTACATGGAAGGATCTTGCGCCTGGCAAAGTGGGATCCATTCCCATCCCTGGGCTCAGAGCAGGCTGGGGATTCTCAAGAGGATGAACACCTAAGAAGGTTGGGGAAAACTGTAGCTTAAGTGTGAAGAATAACTCTATTTCACAAGGTGTCAGGAGTGTGGGAAGACTTTCAGCCCCTTAGTGAGCAGGAGCTTGCTTTGTATCACTGGGGGATCACTGTCTTTCTTGCCTAACAATCACTGTTAGGGGTCTTTTATAAACAAAGTTGAAGACAACAGTGGTCAAGACTAAGAGAGCTGTTTTCCATTTAGCTAGTGAAGGGTTGTGACAGGGGTCGTCCCCAGGAAAAGGGGAAGTTCCAGGTTCCCTGCCCCACCCAGAAGGAGGGTGGAGCTGAGCAGAGAAAAGAAGAAAAGAGAAGGAATCTGAGCAGAAGGAAGCAGGATGGAGAGCAGGGAGGAGACCTGAGGAAGCCACATGGAGTAGCAAGCATGTGATGGAGAAACCATGCTTGTTTCTTGACCCTGGACTGATTGAAACAGATGTGGGTGAGAAGAGACCCATCGGGAAGTTGACTATGGCAGTGTTTATATTGATTTTGCTCTTCTCCTCCCAGTTTTGTCTGGCCATTTCTGACCCTTTTCTATGGGTCCTGCCAGAAGGTGCTTTAGGCTTGTGGCAGGCTTTCAGGCCTTGCTTTGTGCCAATCCATTTTGAGTGGACTCTTGTCTATGAGGGGATGAGTAATTCCAGGTGTTTGATTTAGAAATTACGTTCTTTGTCTTTTGTGTTATATACTCACTGTTTTAAAGTTCTTTTTAATTAAAGTCTTATGTTTTGTATTGATGTGGTGGATGGCAGAACTGTTGAGTGTGACCAGATAGGGGCAGTAACATAACAGCTACCTGTGTGACCAGATATGGGCAGTAACACAAGGACCAGAATGAACTGGGCCTTGCATCCAGGTGCACAGCACAGTCACCTTTCTAGAATCTGAACCTAAAGCCTATGTAAGAGCCGCTTTCCCCTACAGCACTCACAGTAGCTGCGGAACCCACCCTAGGGAGCTCTGTCTCAGCTGCTGCCCAGGAGCAATAAACTCTACTTGCTCAGCCTTTCTGCCTCCCGTCTTTCTTCCTTGCGGCTGGTCTCAGAAATCTGGACAAAACAATAACCTATTTAGAGCAGGCAGGTTTGGGGGTTCACTAGTACCCCTCTTTCTGCCCTGTAACAGGGTGACTCCATCTCCCTGCAATTCTCCATTCAATCATCCAGTAAGCTGGTAAAGAACCAGTTTGGAAAATGTGTTTTTTTTAAAAAAAAAAAAACCCTCCATTTTGAGTTCATGCTTTGGTATTTCAACATTCTTCTCACTTTCCTAATTCTCAGCCCACACCCAAAACCAGATGAAGTCCCTTCAGTGATTCCGATTCAATAACTGGACTCTTGATATCCCCTAACACACACACGCACACGCATACACACCCAGCCTAGTTTGCTTTTAAATTCAACAGTGAAATTAATTTCCTGGCACCGATAACCCTTGACCCAGCCTCAGACCCCCAATAAAGGTTTCAGCCTGCAAGCTCTGGGTCATCACCTGTTTAGTCTAACACCCATTGCTTGTATCCATATCCCTGAGTGTCGCATGGTGACTCCCCCTTCTGTAAGGAAGACAGCCTGTTTTTTTCCCCTCCTCTGTGGCCATGCCAACTTTACCATACCTTACCCAAGATCTACATTCTTAGAACAGAAAACCTGATTTCAAATCAATGCAAATTCTTCCCCTTATATCCTTGAGCAATGATGGCTTTGGGTCATTGGTCATCTGCACCCAGTTGAACTCATATTTGTTCCTCCCCAGAAAAGTCTTGACTCAAGAAAATCTGTTCTTGCACTTTACAAAACCACCAAGATGTGAAAGGACAAATGGCTGAGAAATACCCAGCTCACACAAATACAGATTTCAAATCAATCTAGATCACAGGAAGCTGGAAAAGCTTTACCTCTATTTAGCTAAAGGTTAACTCCTGCAGCAACTCAAGACTAGATGGAGAAACCGAAGCCAAATGCAGACTCTCCAGGGAACCTGTTTTTTGTTTTTTTTTTTTTTTTTTTTTTTAACAAACTGGCTAGAGGAAAACCTGCACCCCCTTTTTCTTACCAGTCTAATGGTGTAAATAAAATGTATGCTTCGAGAACACATGTTCACAGCATAGAGACTTTCTATTTTTCTGTTTTAGTCTATATTTTTAAAACTTTCTCTACAACCACTGGGCCACATACACATTGTAGCACTCCTCCCCACAATCCCCCACGTAACCATCATGATTAAGTCCTGCCTGATTTACTCGTAACATTGCTGTTTAGGATAAAATGTCTATTCATCATTTACTATCATCCCATCCGAAATCTCAGACGGCAACCCCAGGGTAACTGACTGGGGCCGGCAGTCTCGCCAGGCTCTCCGTAGCCCTCAAAGACTCCGACCTCCTGGTGTTCAGTCTTATGAATCTCCCTTCCCTGCAAAACGTGTTTCTAACCAAGACACTGAGACAATATAGGTGGGATGTCACTTTTGTAATTACAGTTTCCATCTTGCTCATGTATTTTCTGTCACTAGCTCTGATACAATAAATGATGTTGTTGGAGAGGGCGAGAAGCAGAAGTTCACTTCCAGGGAAGGTCACTTCCAGTCAACTGCCAACAAGACCTGAAGCTCTGAGTCCAACAGGCTCTGAGGAACTGAATCCTGCCAAAAAGCATGGAGGGTTCTTCCCTGGTTTGGGCTTCAGTTGAGACCCTGACACCGCCAGACCTCGACTCCAGACTTGTGAGCATCCGAAAACAGAGCTCCGGCTAAGCCATTTCCCAGCCAATCCACAGTGAATGTGGATTGTTTTAATACATTCTATTTGGAGCTAATTTGTTACATGGCAGGAAATAACAAATACACTGGAGAGAAAACTAATGGGTTTGGTATGTTTTAAGCTTGTGGGGTCTAGAGTGAATCCCTAAAACTAGAAAACCAGACATAAAAGAGGAACCTTTGAAAATGGGAGAAATTAACAGAACAATCAATGGGATAACACTAGTCAAATTCTCAACAAAGAAAAGTAGCTAATTTCAAGGTCCTCACATCACCCCAGAAAGCACCCAAAGTCTTACAGGGCCCTAGAGTTACAAGAAGCAAGAGAAAATGATTCTAGAGGGGATTAGAGCAAACAGCACTTAATGTCCATTAATGTTCTGATTATAAAAATTTATCACACCTAAGCTGCAATTAATGTCAACCAAAGTAAGTTCAACCAAGTTGCTTTAAATCAAAACCTAAAAAATAAAATGCTTTAAAAAAGCATCATGTCTGCTGACCTGAGCAGCCAGATACTTAATTATGAAGTGCTACAGACAAGGTATCTTTTCTCTAGGCATTCTTACTTCTTTGAGTCAGTAGGCTATGGAATGATAAACTCCACAAGTGTGGGAAAAGCATTCTTCCCACCATGGAGCTTACCAGAAACACAAGGAGCTGATGAACCTCACCCTGATCCCAAATGTGGGGTATACACCCTGCGTCCATGGAGAGCAGCAGTTACAGATGGAGATCTTTAGCTGGTCAGGTGAGGCAGCACCCGTAAAGCACAAACCTACCTGATACTAACTTGAGAAACATGAGCTCTGCTTAAAGCTGGGGGATGTTACAGAGGGAGCAAAAATCCCAAGATTGATGTGAGCCACAAGGGTCACCTCGATACAAACTGTTTTCAAGAAATGGAACGGGGGAGCATCTGAAGAGCAGAAGTGGAAACAAAGAGCCAGGGCCAGACCCTGCCAAATCGCCAGGCAGCTCTGGGAAGGAGTGGACGGCTGTCCTCACACAGTTGTTCTGTCCATGACTGCAGTCCATGACTGCACTGCTGAAACAAAAGGGAGATAGGAGTGGGAGAGGATGTTCTAGAAGGGATCAGGAAAAATTCAACCAAGTAGAATGAAACCTCTGGGGAGGAGGGACCCAGGCTGTTTAGATGTTCCCGTCCCAGGAGTGGCAGGGCTTTCCCCAGCAATAAGGTGGGCCACGGGCACAGTAGCATGGGTGGGCAGTAAACAGAGAAGACTTTCTATTCCAAACCCTTTTCCCACCCATCTCTCATTCCCAGTGTCTCTTCTCTCTACCACAATTTGTGTGTGATATTGGGAGCATGAATTTGAGTTTCAGTTCAATAACAGACCATGGATATATTAGAAAAAGCTTAGTAGATTATATCAATTTACTGAATAAAATATCTATGAAAACACTAGTCATCCCAGTCTCATGCGTTTCTACCCAGAAGTAAGTCTATTTTTCAAGTAACAACCTCACGCATTATTTGTTAAGTAAAATTTGGACAGTTTAGCACCACCTTCCGGCTTGCTGATTTTATAAAATTCTATATGAAGTGGTAGATGTAATTTTATTTTTGAAGCAGAGTACTATCTTTTTATTTTTAAGGATTAATTTATTTATGCATACAAGAAGTGGAGGTACAGGACAGAGGTTTAGGGGGTGAGTGGATTCACCAGAGACAGAGAGGGATGTAGAACAGGCAGATGTATTGAAATACACTGCTGAAGGGAGAAGCGGGCCACTGCTGAAGGGAGAAGCGGGCCAGACAGGAGAGTTCTGCTGTGCCATGTAGGTCACCTCCCTGGCTGGGATTCGAACTGTGCTGCAGTGGCTGTGGACAGCTTCATAGTGCTGCTCTTCAACCCCTTGGCCACCAGGGAGGTCCATTATTATCCTTTTATATCTATGGACTTGTTGTTCTCTTCTCAGAGAGAGAAGGTAAACAATAGAAAGATTTGCACATGTGTGGAGAGATTGCTTAAAACACTCCTTCAACCAGGGAAATCATAGCAACGAAAAATTAGGAACTGGAGAACTCAAACCATTAACTTCATTGATAGACAGGCAGAGAATGCTAGAACAACACCCGACCTGCGCTAAGTCCATACCAGCTCCAAGGAGCAGAAGGTAAGAGCCAGCCCTGGCTCCCTCAGCTCCAGCACTGTCCCTATCAAGGACAACCACACACATTCAACAATCCTGTCTCAGGGAAACTCCCTGGGCTCCCCTTTTCCGACTCAAAGAACACCCATTCTCTTTCAGCAATGCCAAGGCTGTGTGGGTCAAAGGAAGGAAGGGATGCTTTCTTAGAGAGGTGCTGGCTATGTACACAACCCTTGGACAGGCCAGAGGGGAAGGGGTGAGAAGATTCTCCAGAGACAGAGTGGGGAGCAGAACAGGCATATGTACTGAAATCCTACATGCAGCCAGGTGGCCTTGATACTCACCAGTGCACACGTGACCGTCCCCAGCGTACCCCGGCAGGCAGGTGCAGCTGAACGAGCCGCCGCCATGGTGAATGCACTGGGCCTGGCCCGCAGGAGCGCAGGTGTGACGGCCGTCCTCACAGGGGTTGGCAGGGGGAGCCATCACTGCAAAGAGAAGGCTAGGATGTGGCGTGGTCTGGGTAAGGGTGGAGGTGGGGAGCTGCTCTTGGCATGGTGTCTGCACAGAGGTTTCTGGGATAATTACTACTTTTTATCCCACTGGATTAAAAATTACTTGTTTTCTATCATCATCTGGTTCTATCAATGGGATGACTTTGAAATGCTAGCTCTTCTGGATCGATGTTTTGAGGTCCAAAGTATATTCTCTGAAACTCTAGAAAAGGTATAGTTAGTCCAGATGAAGCTCTATCACTAGTCAAGTGGGACAAGCATCTTTGAGTTATCAATCCATTCATTCTAGTTTGAGAAGTGTTTGATGTCTACTGAGAGCTGCTGGTATTTCTTAGTGGTTCATCATCTTGTTACATGACCAGGCCAATATCAAAACACACGGGAATGAGTATGAGGTGAACATACTCCAACACCACAAATATCTGGAGGAAAGCAACAACAGAAAAAACAACACACACACACACACACACAGAATAACTTTGTGTTATTTCAAGGTAAACTGTTTTCTAGAAGATCACACAGCAGTTTCTCCAGAGCATAAGTGGAGAGATTAGTGAAGAGTTAGGTTCAGTACTGCTGTGGTTCAAAAGAGGACTGATCATGGCACTCACAGATGCAAGTGTGTCGGTCATCAGCAAACTCGTAACCACTCCGGCATTCACACCTGTAGCTTCCCGGCAGGTTGATGCACACAGAGTTGGGGCCACAGCGGTGGAAGCCTGTTGCACACTCATTCACATCTACCAAGTAGTAAGAACAGAAGAGTACAACTTAAACCAAGAGTCTCAGAAATGGAAGGTCATAAAATTCAGTGTGTCTCCTCTACTCTGAGGTTTCAGACTAGAGGAGGACTAAACATGAGTTGACAAGTAGGAGTTCTGAGCACCAGACATAGATGCATGTTGTAGATCACCTGTAATAACATGTCATGGTCCTCAAGTATAAGCCGCCAGGAGATATTTTGAAGATCCTGAGAATTCTTTACACAATTATAAACATTAAGAAGAAAAACACTTCAATAGTTTTCTTACCAAATGTAAATAAATGTCTACTGCTGCTTTTTGAGGCTGAATAGGTACAATAAACACAATATCTGAAATTTAAAGTGACCAGGAAATATACTTTTAAGTAAATGTAGGAAACACCTAACATAGGCTTAAAATTACAAAATTTGAGCACTCAAAACATCTAGCAATACAATAGGTGTTTTCTTTTCATAGTTCAAGCCCAGAAGCCTATACCTCCAGGCTATCACCTCAAATCTAACATATGCTTCCATTTTTAAGTAACTGTACTTAGGTTAACAGCTGCTGAACTCACTGATCAATGGGGATCAGGACAGATTCTTTTCACCCATTAACATATTATGCTAGAGGACTACATAAAAAAAAGGAAAGAAAGAAAACATGGAGTGGATGGCTCTTACCCACACAGCTCCGTCCGGTTCCCTGGTACCCAGATGCACACTCACAGGTGTAGTCTACACCTGCCCCTGGAAGACACCGAGCTGTCATGTCACAAGTGTGACTCCCGTCATAACAAGGATTCACTGGAGCGGGGGCTGAATCATCTGTTTGGGTAGAAAGGAAACATTCAAGAGCACAGTCTAGCTGTTGCAAAGAGAATGACACAGAAGGAAGGAAGCTGAGGAGCCCATATACTCATCTGTGTTTGGGTGACCTTCCTAAACCGGATACTATCAGTATCCAGAGTCAAGGTATTTTCTCTCTATCATGGCTTTAAGCTGTAGAATGACTTCTACACACAACTATTATTTTAGTAGGTTACTCTATATACCACTTGCCTACTCTATCCACAACCAACCTTTTCTTGCTTATAGTAGGCTTATGTACAGGGAAGAAAAATAACACAGATTATCCTTTTATGTAAAAGTGCTTTTGTTGGCCTTCCCTGGTAGTGCAATGGTTAGAGCACAGCACTGTGAAGCTATCCACAGCCAGTGCAGCATGAGTTCAATCCCCAGCCATGGAGCTGGTCCACATGGCACAGCAGACCTGTCCTGTCTCACCCACTGCTCCCCTCAGCAGGGTATGTTAGTCACTCTGGCTGTTCTGCTCCCCACTCTGTCTCTGGTGAATCTTTTCACCCAAGCTCCTCTGGCCTATACTAGGATCTTGTATGCATAAATAAATAAACCTTTAAAATAAACAAATAAAAGTGCTTTTGCTCCAGCATTACCTTTGATTTTCAGAAGAATTCTATGAAGGGGGCTGTTGTAGTCACACCAATTTTCAGACAAGAAAAAGGTAAGTGGGAGACATTGGGAAATTTTCCTGAATTCATAAAGTCAGGAAGTAAAGACTCATACCCAAGATTTGTGAATCTAAACTGAGTAATGACTCAGTAAAATTCAATATTTTGATGTCAAAATCATGCTTCTCAACAGCTTTAGATCAAATGAATACGAACGACTTTGGACTCTTTAGAATTAATCTTGCCATAGAGTCATCCATCCATGAGGTAGTAATGATTGTTAACATCTGAAATCTTCCCTAAAAAGCTTTACTTTTAGATATGGTATAATAGTAACAATTTATTGAGATCTTATATACCAGGCAGTGGTCTCAACCCTTTACATTGAATCCTCATGACTACACTACAAAGAAAGCATCTTTACAGCAGTACAGCGAGATCAAGTCATTTGCCCAAGGTCACACAGTAAGTAGAGATGGCTCAAGATGAGACAAAAAGATAAGTTTGGGGCCCTCCCTGGTGGCACAGTGGGTTAAGGCACAGCACTAAGAAGCTAAAGCCACTTCAGCATGAATTCAATCCCCACCCCCAGAGGTGACCTACACGGCACAGCAGACCTCTCCTGACCTGCCCACTGCTTCCCTCAGCAATATACTTTTTCGGTTGGCCTGTTCTGCTCCCCACTCTGTCTCTGGTGAATCCTCTCACCAACCCCGCACCTCTGGCCTGTACCCCAGTTCTTTATGCATAAATAAATCTTTTTTTTTTTTTTTAAGATAGCAGTTTGGCTCAAGAACTCATGTTTTCTACCCCTCAGCTACAACTACCTACAAAGGAACTTCATGAAGTCCCTCCCCCACCCTCACCCCGAGTTCCTGTCTGGATAGCCAGCCTGGTACGGAGCATTTCCACCTGCTCTCAACAGTTCTCACTACCCCAGGAGTCAGCATCTAGGCATCTGCAGGTGGACTCTAGCAGTACCACCTGCTTTGACTCCCAACTCCTCCTGGGTGCCCTGTTTCTCACTCACCCATATCATCCCCACCCCTCTACCTCATGTGGACAACCCTGCCCCAAGTGACTCCTAGTGGAGACCCATGTGCTGGCTGCAGCTGCCTGCTTCAGAGACTGGGTTCCCAATCCTTGGGTGTCTGGACACCTCCCCAGCACTAACCCAGTACCCATACTAGGTCTCCTAGTTTTTCTGTGAGTCTGGCTTCAGCTGGGTTGCCTGGGCTAAGTCCCAGATGGGACACAGTGGCATTCTGGCAAATGCCTATCAGTTACTTTATAAGCAACACCACAGTGTGTTCCCACAATGGAAGTCTCATATTCATTGATTCCCATAATAAGGGCTTGTCCTTGGCTCACCTCAATATCACTGGCTGAAGTAACAGAACCTTTGCCAACCAAATGGGCCAGCAAATGGCTCCAGCACTTTTAAACCTGATGAACTTAAAACTTCGGCATACACCTAGCTCCCTGAATCATGCCACCCCGCCCTCTGGCTCATTGGCAGATGGGCCCGAGGCACAACACCAGGATTGTGGCTACTAGGTTAATTTGATCTAAGGACCAAGTTCCTGAGTCAGTTCCTGGCATGTGTTGCAGTTAACACTAACGGAAGTAAGTTCTCACCGAAGGCCTGATCCAAGAACCTATTCTTCCTCTTTTCTCCACGTTAGCAGAAGATTCTCTACAAAATGGCCATTCTGCCCACCCAAAGGGGACACTGAACATCAAGATGTTTTAAAGTTTAAAGACCAATGCCTAGCCTTCTTCAGACTTCCCAGCATCAAAATTTCATGGTGGTCCATTCCAGCAAAGATTAGTGAGTATACATGAGTGTGAAGGGCTTACTACTCTGCTTGGAATTAAAAGGAAAAAATTGAACAAAAGATGACTTGCAAACTATGCTAACCTACCTGAAACTGATTAGTTTCCTAATTGAAACTGACTTCCTAACCCAACTGGCCAGGTAATTTGCAGAGCCCAGTGCAAAATGAAAATGTGGAGCCCATTGTTCAAAAGGTATTAAGAGCAGCAAGACAGTGACAGGACAGCAAAGCGTACTACTTCTGAACACACGCCCTGTTCAATGAATCAGGTTTCCAGAAACATTATTTTAAAAAATATTCTGGAAGAACGAGTCATTCTCTGGCTTGTTAACTTTTATTATAGTGTCTTCAGACATTTACTATTTCACCATGACCCTCTTAAATTGCTCTGATGGAGATCTGGAACTAATTTACTCATCTAATCAAGGGGAAGAATGGTTTTCCTTAGAGAAACAGTCCGTTCAGCTTCACTGGATGGCCCTCTGCCCAAATCTCAACTCGTCAAAAGGAGCCCTGAGTGGGGAGAGGACAGGAAGCATTCCTGGTCCTGGTCTAAGACCCCATGCAAAACAGCCAACCCACCCTCTAAGCTCAAACACCGGGGGTAGGTTGGGGCTGGGGATTGGCCGTGGGCAAGGGCCTGGCTCTGATGACTCACTGGAAGGCAACAGCACCGCCCCTAACCCTGGGGAAACCAGTGCTCCCACCTCAGGCGCAGACAGCTCTGCCTCACAAACATTCCAACCAGACACTTGCTCCCCCTGGAGTGAGTGAGAGACTCTCGAGAAAATACTGCTACTCACAGAGCAGACAGAAAGAAGAAATTTTCTTTCTTCTCTTCATTTCTTGTCTTCTGGTCTTTTCCCCTATTTTTTTTCTACTCCAGTAGAATGAATAGTCTTGCTGGTTTATGCCAGGTGAATAGAGCAGGGTGAGGGTGGAAAACATATATTCTCACTTTTCAAATTTGGTCTAAATTGTGAGATGGTCCCAAGACCAGCTTAGTACCTAGAAAGCAGTGTTGTGGGGGTTTTGAGTGGGCTCTGGAACCGAGTTGCTGCTGGGTGTAAAATTCAGCTTGCCATTTTCTAGCGATGACCAAGTAACTGACTTCATGTTTAGAACTCAGTCTCTGTAAAATGGGGCTAGAAAACCCCCTTTTGAGTAGGACTTACAGGAACTAAATGACTTACAGTAGCACTTGGCACTAAGTAGGATGTTAGATCAACCCGGGCAGTGCAGGGGGGCCAGCGGAGACCCCCTGACCTTGCAGCAGCCTACTGATAGAGTCCAGGAGGCAGATATCAACAATCCTGGTTGGCAGACTGGGGGTCACCTGGGTTTCATCTGGGCTTTGGGTCAGTGCACTCCACTTGGCTATTCTGAGCTCCACTCCTCCCCATTCCCCAACTACCTCTTCTGGTATAAATTCTCTCCCGGCATTCCCTTGGAATCCCATCCAGCAACAGACCCTAAAATCCTCTCTTCTTTAAGACCTTGTGTAGGCTCCTTTTCAGCAACACCTTACATACGATGCCATTATTATGTAGTAGGTTGAAAGGGAAAAATAACCAAATTCTAAAGGTTAAGTTAGCAAGTCAGGACCTGCCAGGTTGCTGGCTGTAACTGATTCTGGTATCCTGTTTTGTATGTCTCTAGGAAAAATACACCCAGAGTCTATCTCTTCTGTAAATGGTTCCAGAATCTGAATGGGAATGCACAGCCTGGGAGTTCTTCCACTAATTGCTGTTTTCACAGATCAACCGCCTACACCCAGCAAAGGGTTGAACTGCACATTCAAAGGTGAAGGGTGTTTCCTCCATTGTTCTCGTTTCAAGCTTGCCTTGAGAAAAGTGCAATGGTTATCTAAAAATCAACTCTACATTTTCATGCTATTAATTCACTACTTTAGAATTCCATTCTGGGACACTTTAATGTCTGTTACCCCAACCATGTTTCCTAAACCAACCCAGCCAACACACTTGGGATTCTCATTTCAAATCATGTCTGTGTAGTAGAGATCTAGTCCTCTTAGGTATCTGAGTATATTGCCAGGGTGACACTCGCATGGTGAGCCCTAGGGGGTGGAAGGAGCCCTCCACTCTTGTGATAAAGCTCAGCACTTCTCACATGTTCATTAGCTATTGGTATGCTTTGTTGCATAAATATCTACCCAAATTTCCTGTCTTTCTATCAGACTATCTTTTTTTACTTGATTTGTACTAGAGATATAAGTCTTTTGTTCTGTGAATAGTATGTTCACTTTGTAGATTGTGTCTTCTGATGTATGAGTTTAATTTTGATGTTGCCATTTTTTTCTTTCATTGGTTGTTTTTCAGGTATATATCTGAGAAGTCACTGTCTAGTTGAAGGTCACAAAACAAAACAAAAATCACCCCTGTATTTTTTATAAAACTTTAGCACTAATATTAAGGTCTTTGACTCATCTTAATATATGATATGATGTAGGGGTACAACTGTATCCTTTTACAGGTGGACATCAAGCTGTTCGAGAACCATTTGTTCGAGGAAAAACTTCTCCTCAATGAAATTGTTTTTAGCACCTGTTCAAAAAAAAAACCAATTGGCCAACTGTAGTTTTCAGGATTTTCACCTCTATTCCCCGGATCTATATGTCAGCAACTCACTATCTTGACTACTTACTACTTAACGTTTGGAGATCAGGACTTGTGAGTCCTTCAACTCCCCCAACCCCCAAGATCATTTGAGCTAATTGTGTCCCTTAAATTTCCCTATAAATTGAGCTGACAGGATTATGTTGGATAGTAGTGAACTTATCAATTAAGAAAGCATTACAATCTCTTAATCCAAGACCATGGAGTATTTTTCCAGGCTAGGTTAATTTCTTTTTTTTTTTAAATGACTTATAGATTTCAGTGTAAGAGTACTGTATAAAAAAACTGTATTCCTAAATTGTATTATTTTTGTGATGGATTTTTTTGTTTTGCTCACTACTATTACAGAAAAATAAAATTTTGTATATTTATCTCATATCTTATAACCTAGTTTCTCAGTTCAAATGACGTGTGGTAATTTTTAAAATAACATCCTTAGATTTTCTATCTATAAGATCATGTCCCATGAAAATCGATCATTTCCTTCCTGATTTTTTAATCTATATGCTTTAAATTTCATGCCTGATTGCCTCAGCTAGAACTTAGAGTGCAGTGTTGAACAGAAGTGACTAGAACAGATAACACCTTCCCAGTCTTACAGGGAAAACAGCAAGTTTTTCTTCATTTAGTATGTTGTTGCCTGTGGGGTTTTCCATTCTTGCAGTTCTATTTTTTCCTCCAGGCACTGGCTTTTTGGCTACCTTGATTTGGTGAAGTCTTTCACATCCTTTAACTTTTACCCAAAATGTCACATCCTTGGGGACACCCTCCCTGAGTCTCCAGATGTGACTCAAGGTACTTTGTGCTTAACGCAATTACAACAAATATTGTCAGTATCATTCTCCTCATTTGGCGCCTACCTGTTCATAGGTATGCCCCCAACACTCACTAGCACACAGGGTCACTGCACAAACCAACCTTGCATATGGCCTGGCCCTGACCTGGTAGAAACACTGTCAGTTCTCCTCCTCCCTGCACCACATTGACAGGACCTCTGCTTTATTCATCCTTACACCCAGCACCTGCCACAGAGCCTGGTACTCAGTAGCCCTTCAAAACTTCTGAGAATCATACGGAGGCTATTCAAAAAGGAATGAAGAAAGGAGATTAGGTGTTTTGCCCAACAAAAACAAAACAGCAAAGTGTACCTTCCACGGGGCCAATTTGATTGGTCACAGCAAATCTAAGCACTTGTTCTTCATCCGTGTACAAGGCAAAGACCCGGTCAACATTCAGCTGCTGGGTGGCAGAGATGGCCTGGTGCCTGGGGGCATGCTGGCACGCCTGGTAAGTGATGTTCTGTTGGATGCGGTAGGATCGCGTTTGGTTGATGCCACCAAGTATGAGAAAGTAGTCTCTGGAACTTGAGGAGGTCACAACTGCAACAGACACATCCTGTGACCAAACTGGTGAACTTAATATTAATGACAGAGGCCTTTTCTGCAGCTTTTCCTTTAGTTCCCATAGCATATTACCTAGGGAAGTTAATCAGTTTATATGGGCAACCTGCAAGGCAGTCCCAAGCACCTGAGCAGAATGAGCTCCACTGTTGAGCCTCATTTATTCTCCACCACCGCTGCCCCCAAGGGGACCCTGTCCTTGTGTCCACGGGTCCTCCAGGGCTGAACAGTCATCCCGGCACTAGGCCAGTATGAGGAGGTGGAACTGAACTCATGCTGGCCCAACGCTGCACCACCAGGTTTTTTTTTTTTTTTTTTTTACACCACACATTTGTAACCAATGCATCCTCTCTACACTGCACAGCGCCTGATGATCCCAACCTCTCGCCTTTCAGTCTGATGGTTTCTAGGAAAAGGGGAGATGGTTTCTTTCATGTTGACTTGGGGACTCAGGCCCATTTTCGGGCCCTCAGCTGTTCCTGCAGTGCCCCAGTCTCTCCACCCATTCTTGCCCAGGCATCTCTGGGCAGACTGCCAGCTTTCACACTGTCGGGGAATTGAGGAGAAGGCGGAGCAAAGGAGGCAGGGAGCCAGCGCCTGTGACCCAGCCCGTGTCCTGCCTTCAGGGCCGGTTTCCAGGCGCCTCACAGTTTACAGTGTCAACCACATCAGGTACATGGAAGATGTTACTCTCATCCTAACGAGGGCAAAAAAGGCTCTCAGGAGAGTGACTTTTTTCCCACCTATTTTAAACATTTAATATATACATTTACTGTCTTCTGACACCAAGTCTATGCAGCATCTTTCTATGATTTTAAAAAGCAGGATAAAACAGGGTTACAAGGCCAGTGTAAATTCCAATAGTTATTTTTCCCATGGCCCAGAAAGCAGAATGACTAAAGATTATATATTTTTATACCATCTGTGGTGCTAGCAAGCACAGGGCAGTTTCCCTCAATTTGGACAGATGGGTAAAGGGGAGTCCTGGAGCCCTCGGTGGCTTTCACACGCTTTAATCTTATTTCTACACCAACTGTTGAAGGGGCAAGCCCATAGGGTGGTGAGGCAGGGAAGGGCAGGGGTGTCCCAGGAGGCTAACAAGCCTCCCAGCCCTCAGCAAATCCTTACTCTTTCTGTTTGGACTCTCTCCAGCGTCTGCTCATCCTCTCCTAGCCATTCTCTGCCGTGACGTTTCTGTGTGATGCCATCTTACAGGCTCGGCCTCCAGGCTCAGGTGAGCCCACTTACGAGTGTCCGCACCATACTCCAGGTGTCCACTATCAGGCATGCATGCCCTAAGCCCACGCCCCCAAGCCCCTTCTGTATTCAGGCCACAGGTGATAGCCACAGAGGCCAGCAGCATAAAAGCCTGACCATCACTTAGGCTACACCGTCCCTACCCACCCTCCATTGCCAAAACTGATTAATATTTCAAAGTGTTGCACAGAATATGGATATGCTTCAGTAGAGTAGCAAGCCCTCTTTTCGACCTGTGTATTCGGTGATAAGAACAATGATATTGAGCTCACTGTTCTGTACTGCTCCATCCTAAGGACATTCCCAGTAATTCAGTTAACTCCTAACTATCCTGTGAGTAGGCACTGTCCCCATTTACAGACGGAAAAGCTGAGCACACGTACCTGAGTCTGAGTAGTGGTACAGCTCCTTGTAGGGAGCTATCTGGGCTGTGAAATTTGCTGGGATGTAAGGCACCTGTCCTTGAATGTTGGTCTTAATGCTCAGGTAGTTCTCAGGGTCAAGTCCTTCTGCTGTTTGAGTGATTTGCACCCTCTCCTCCCCTGGGTAGAAAGTAACCTCCATGTTTTGGATAAAGGTAGCGCCTGAGGAGGAAAAAAAAAATCAGTTCGGGGGTGAAATTTCCAATACAAGGTACCCGTGTTCTCGCATCTTCCAGTAATAACTACCAAAGCATACTGCCTCCCCACAATTTCTTCCACTGTTGAGATTGTGCTTGTGAGGATAAACTGATACCCAAGACTAAGTACTATCAGCTGTTGATTTTGTAGGCTTTTTTTTTTTTTTAAAGCACTATCCACTTATGCATACAGAAACTGGGGTATGGGCCAGAGGTAGGCGGTGGGTTAGAAGAGGTTAGGAGGAGTCACCAGAGACAGAGTGTGGGTTCCTCCTGTCTCATTTCACACTTCTTTTTGGAACTTGTTTTCTTTGAGAAGTAAACTCTTGGCAACAGCCATGACATTTTGCGAAGGTTTCCAGACTTAATAAAAACAAGCAAATAAAACCGAGATACTCAGTTAAACTTGAATTTCAGATAAAGAATGAGTACGTTTTTAGGATAAGCATGACCATTGTATTTTAGAAAACACTAGTACTTTAGAACATAACCAACATGTATCTTACATTCAAATATTACTGGGTATTCGTATTAATCTACTTTAGGCCCAAGGCTTCATCAAATGATTAATAGCAAGATTCTACAATGATTGGACTCTACATCTGGAGATAGGGAAGAAACTTCTAGAAAATGTTTTCTTAATGTGAAATAAAAGAAAAACCCACTGGGAAACAAGTTATTTTCAGTTGGTGAGGTGAGAAGCTGGGAAGTATCCTCTGTACCTTTGCTCTTAGAGGGTAGCTGTTAGATCAGCATGAACAGCTTCTGGGTGCTGCCTGGAAAAAGCAGAATCACAGAACCACCCCAGGCCTATTGAACCAGAAGCTGCATTTTCACAAGGATCCCAGGTGATCTGTGTGCCGGTTCCAAGTCTAAGCAGCACTGGTCTCTACGATTAGAGGTTACAGATGTAGGGGCAAAAAAAGAGTGAAACCACCCCCTTCCTGAGAAAGTAAAATGAGCTCAGGTGCCCTCTAATTACCATTTTTGCACCCTTATTAACATACTAGCATAATTCAATTAAACAAAGTGACAAACAAGCTGCAAAAAATTGGGGTGAGGTCATAAATGCTGCAATGGAGTCGTCTTACTTCTCAGAACTCAGAACATTTAGAAGATATCACTCTCTTTGAAAAACTGTCCTGCAGGCCAACCCAATCCCAGCTACCTCCAGGTGAACCATCACTCCTATAGCTCAGAAACACTGAACAAGTGAACCCTTTTCACCAAATAAAACTGTCCCCCGCAGAGGCTACGCCACCACAGCCATCATGCAGTTGGCCACTCAGAGACACTACTCACCTGTGAGGCTGAAGCCATTCTTCCAGCCTGGCTTTTCTAAGGCAAACAGCCACCCAAACAGGCCTCCGATTGGAGCAAGGGGGAGCAGGGCCTGGGCCGCGGGCCTCGGGATGTGGCTGATGGCTGTGTAGGCTCGGCCATCATTGCCCACGATGTAAGCATGCAGGTCCACGTCGGTGAAGTGCACCGGGGTGTGGCCCACAAGAAGGTGGCCACTTACTTTCCCATTGACTCGATAAGGTGTCCCTAAAAGACAGCAAGTACAATTAAATCTTGACCACCATCAGGCTGGGGATGGGCACGCAGATCATTCCACTGACGACTCCCAACACTTGCTCTTTCGTCAATCATTTGCATGAGTCTCTAGCCAACCAATTACTTATCAGCAAAACACACCTGTCTTTAATCCCCTTCTCCCTCTGTCCCATCCAAGCTAACTCTGGCAAAAGGGAGGAACCACTTCTGGTTATTCCTCGAAGTGGGAGATCAGGCCAAAATGTGCATCCCTCACACGTTTGTGGAGCACCTCTAGGTTGTCAGTGCTTTGATTCCAGCAGTGGTGACTCAAGGTCCATAAGCAGAGCTCACTATGGTGGTGGTGGGGACACAAATGAGCAGCCTCCCCCCACCCCCACGCCTGTCTCACTCACCTTCCGGCAGACAATGCTTCCCATTTCCGTAAAACCCGGACTGACAGTGGCAGCAAAAGCCGGTGGCATAGTCAGTGCAGAAGGCGTGGGGGGAGCACTGTCCGTGGTTGTGTTCACAGGTTTCCTTGTGGGCAGAATTATACGTGACGACTGGAAAATAAAACAGACTTGGGCTGAAAAGACTAAGTGACGGCACACCATTGCCACTAAGATTTCATCACGGACGCTGCATCTGCTCCCTAAAGTCAGCTCAGAACACACAGTTAAAAAAAAAAAAAATACATGGGTGTTTGATGTTTAAGAGGCAGGAATAATATTCCACCCAGAGGAATTGCTTTGTCTTTTGGCAAGACATTCTGCTGGCTGCTCCCATCAGGTCTCACTGCAAAGCCAGAGAACTCGGAGGCTGCCCCTCTCTGGAGTGGGGTAGAAACCAAGCCTGGCAGTGAGAACATGTCAGGTTGAACTGCACGAGGCTGCCATTTTGAGTCAGAATGGCGAATGTCAGCAACTTGGTATCGTTCAACACTAATAACTTGCTAGGAAGTCCACACAGAGAAACCAGCAAATGTAGCCTCGTGTTTAACCATTTTATTCTTTTAGGTAACCCTGCACTTAGAAGAGCCGGCAACTTGTCTCACTATCCAGAACGGTATTTTTTCCTGAGAGGATCTTAAAGAACACGCTTCTTTAAATGTAGGGAGGAAGTGGGGCAGGAAGGGCAAGGAGCTGGGAAGCCAGCTGTTAAAGTACTCTATTTGGCTCAAGAGGAGTTTCCGGCAGTGGAGGAGAAGCCGGCTGGTCACAGCTCTGTTGGGAAGCCAGAGCGGGAGAGGGTAAGCTCAAAGGGCCTGTACTGGCCCCTCCCACCTCCACTTACCCTGGCTGTTAAGAGACAGAAAAGAGGGTCCTCTGTACTACGCGAACCAAAGAAATTGGAGCCTACATCCTTGTCAATAGAGGAAATGGCCAGCGGGGAATGAAGGCACTTGGGATGCAGGGTCTGAAGGCCAAGAGCTGATTTCTGGGTGATGCTCAGGGAGGTGCCAACCCCAAACTCGCCACCAGGAGGCAGAGTGGCTGGAAAACCTCCACCTCCCATCCTCAGGGCTACTGACTCCAGGGATCACCCGCACTGCTGTCAAGTGGGAGCTCTCAAGGAAGGTGCACTTCCTCCCTAGGGAAAACGAAGAAGTCGTCCCAGATCCAGGTCTGATAAGGGTGAAGCAGGAGCGAAAGGTCAAAAGTGAAAGATCCATGTTTACCCAGTATTCTAGAATGAAGTAACAAATGGTGAGATGTAGCAGCAGACATGTAACAAGAAACACCGCATCAAAACTTGTAACAGCATCTTAAAATATAGCAAGTAACATTTAAATAGTATTTAAAGTACGCCAGGTACTATTCTGTGAACTTCAACTTTTTAAACTTCATATTTGTATTAGAGTAGGAACTATTTTTTTTAAATAGAATAGTTTATTTTTACACCATTTTGTGCTTTTTTCCATCTCAGTTGTAATCCCCGTGGGCTCCCCATCACCAAATCCCCTGTGTGCACCACCATAGTCCCGTCACGACCCCTCCCACCCCGCCCCGTTTTTGATCTCATTCCCCACTCCGTTAAATGTCTCTGGCATATATAGTTGTTCATTATTATTTTCTCCCCTCTGGTCCTTTATGTTCCTAGAGCAGAATAAAGAGGCTGAAGCCCATATTAAAGTGACTTTCCTGAAGTTACATAGACAGCAAGTGGCAGAGCTGGGATTTGAACCCTGGCAGTCAGGCTTCAGGATTCTTTTTTGCTGCACTCTTGCCACTCCGTGGAAGGCACCCACATCTATTTCGAAAGCTGGGTTAGAGGTCTGATCAGGTGTTTGGGGTTAATCAGCGGAGACTTCAGCAAGTGAGCTTTGCATCCTACTCTACAAATCAGGCTTAGCAGTAAAAGAATGCAGTTTATCCAGATGGATTTTACAGCACATTGATAAAAAGCCCAAGTGAAAAGTGAGCGTAGCATCAGCATGAACTTTCCGGCAGTGCTGGGCAGCACAGATCCTGGAGGAATCACACATCTGAAGAGACAGGGACCTATACTTCTGAATCCAGTATGGTGCTGTAAACCAAAATTACCACAACAAAAAGTACCAACAAATGAAAAGGCAGCAAGCTGGGGGTTGGCAGGGCAGATCATTTGACTCAAGTGAGAATGAAGTAGGTGACAAGATTTGGTGACTTAGCTGAGAAATTCCAGTTTGATAAAAATAGAAAATTAGGCACAACCCTGAACATTTTTCAACACAGGAATGTGCCATAAAACTCAAGCCAGAAAAAAAAAAAGTCGATAATGATTTAAAAAAAAAAAAAAAAAAACAAGTAGAGAACGCCTCAAGAAGTTGCATACCACTGTCTACCATGGGGCTCAGAAAAAAAGTTTGAATTTAAAAATATGTAAATTTGTCAGTCTTGGATTTCTCCAACTCAGACAGTCACAACTAAGAGAAGACAGTGCCAAGGCGGGCTGGCATGCCTGTGAGTGTGCGGATAGGGGCGGCTGCTAAGGACCCCCTGCCCCAACTCGAGAGTGCTGGGGTATCAGAGGCTCCCAGGCTCTAAGGCCCCATCACACACCTCGCTTCAGGCAGCTCTTCTACTGAAGAAAAGCGCTCACTTTCCACCTCTAAATTCAGGATGACTTTCTTTCTCCCACCTCCCTTGCCAGATACTCTATTTTTTCCTTAGTGTTTGTCTGAACACCAAGGTGAGAAGGCAACCTGAATGGGGTGTCACGGGCAAGCAGGAAAATTCAGGTAAAAGTAAAAGCAAACTCTAACATCACTCTGCCCCCAAATTAAGGATATGGCTGGGTTCTATTTTATATATATCCTCAAACTGGCCTAGAGAAGACTTTTCTTCAAGTAAATTCCTGTACTAAGAGTAAACTATGGGCTAGGGGGAGAGGAGGACACAGATGTAGGGAACTAGGCTAATTTCTCTAAACTAGGGATAGTCAGAGCTTTTTAATGAGTAAGAGGAGCAAAGCAATGTAGTCAGCAACTAAGAAATGCAACTGTGCACATTTTCAAAGTTGACTGGCATGCAGACTGCATTTTTCTAAAAAATAGTAGTTTGGCTCCCACACCAGGTTACTTTGAGACTGGAGCTATGATCAGAATGGACTCCTATTAGTAAGTTGCCTGGGATATTTTTAAACAAATTTTTGTGGAATATTCTATTCTCAGGATGGAATTTGAGCCAAAACACATGCTTAGTCTTCCAGCACAGTGCCAGCCACATGGGAAATGTGGGTTCCTCACTGCAGGAGAACATAGGATCCCAGTTCTGTGCTAGTATTCACACAAGCGTGCACACACACATGCACACTTAAACTTATACTGTTAGTTTAAGTGAAAGGTAAATGCTTCTTGCAATTTTCACCCATTCATTCAATAATACAATAAATATTTTGAGCACTCACTACGGGCCTGACGCTAATCTAACAATTAGGAATATAGCAGGAAACAAAGAGAAAGAAAGTCCTGCCTTGTAATTAATCTTCTCCTGAGTGGGGGGGGGTGGGGGTGGTGGTGTCATATAGTATGGTGGATGGTGTCACAGGAAAAAAGGGCTAAAGGGAGCAGGTGACTTTGTTCCTTTAAATGACATAGTCAGGGAAGATCCTGGGAGATGACCTTTGGGTGGAGGCTAGCAAGGCGATGACCATGGAGGCAGGACTACTACGCTGGGCAGGAGGAACTGGGAGTGTGGCAGGACACAAGGACAGCACGACAAGCCAGAGAAGTCTCTCTGGCCAGTCCTAGTGCCTCACAGACAGGAAGGACTGGGCACTCATCTGCCAGAGGACTGAGAGGACAGCGCCATGAGGTGACTTACGGTATGTCAGGAATAAGTCGGTGCTTGGTAGTAGAATAAGCTGGTAGAGAGAAGGGCCAGAGCCGGAACATTTCGAAGATGGAGTGGACAAAATCCATGCTGATGGAGTGGAGGTAGGGGGCAAAGGAAGCAAGGGTCCTTGGTGATGGCCATCACTCAGAGTAGGAAACTGGACGTGTGGAGCTGCCACTCACAAAGATAGAGAAGCTGGAAGAGCCAGTTTAGGGACAGCCTTTGTAACAGCCAAGAGGTGTCAAGGAAGTTCGACCTCAGCTCAAATGACAACTGAAACTCTCAATATAGCACTGACCAACCAGAGAGCTGCGACCAACCAGAGAGCTGCATTTGGCCCAGTGGGCTCTGGGGCCACTGAGTCAGCATCACCTGGAAGGCCTGTGAAGCATCACCCAAGGACCTGCCAGCTCAGACTCTATGGGTAGATCCCAGAAATCTGTGTCATTCACTCTTAGGGGATTCTTAAGCCTGTTGAAAATATTCAGGAGTCAAAAATGCTATTTCTGGGTAAGAGAATGTTCACTGACTCAGGTAATTAATTTTGCCTGGCTAATTAGCAGCTTCTGGAGCAGGTGGCATTCTAGGCAATGCCCTTTTACTCATTCCCGGCCTGCTGAGAAGAAGAACCACAATGTTCATGGCCCACTTAGGCTTACCTCCATAAATATCAGCATGAAGACCCTTTAATGAAGATCACTCAGAAATCAGAGCGCTCCTGATAGGCACTGAACCTGGACCTGTGATCCTATAGGTGACCGTCCACAGCAAAAAGTGAGGCACCAGCAAGTTGACTTCTCACATTTCTGCGGGTAGTGTATGCAGACTCAAGGATGCTCAACTACTTAAAATTGTTAAATCATGTCTGAACTCCTGAGGATCCAGAAACAGGTGCAATGAGCATATCCAAAAACAGAGGCACTTTTTTTTCTGCTTCAATGGTCATTTAAATGCCTTGTCACAACAATTGTTTTGAATGTATTTTCACACACTCCTGTTCTAAGAAGATGTTATCACCATTGCACATATGAGAAAACTGAGGACCATGAAGGTATGATCGGATTCCTACAGTCTTTCCATTTCACCAGCAATACTCAGGTTTGGTAGGTTTGGGAATCACTAGGGGACCTGGTTTAGAAATGCAAATTAAGGTTCACAAGGTGGAGGAGGGGCAAGGAAATCAGCAGTGGAAACTGCCCCAGATGACTTAGATATAGGTGAATTAGAGCCCTCACTTTGAGAAACACCGCTTACTCTGGGGCTTCCTCTCCCTTGAGTGAATACATCTTTCTTCATTTTGTATGTTTTTCATTTTTCATCTCGGTTGTAGTCCTGGTGGATTCCCACCACCACTTCACCCTGTGCCATCACCATAATTCCATGTGCTCTTCCCACCCCAGTTTTGACCCTGTTCCCTTCTTCTCCCCCCTAGAATGTCTCTGGTTTATAGTTGTTTGTTGATTTAGATTTTACTTTATTACAATTTTTTTTATATAATCCCTTACACTCCTGCTATGATGGATACCATCCAGTATTTTTCTTTTTCTTTCTGGCTTATTTCTACTCCAAGGTATCTACCCAAAGGACACTTGCACTGCTCTCCCTTGAATCCATCCTCAGGCGCAGGCTGTCTCCCACCTGTTCCTGCCTGGGTATTCCTGTCTGGAAAATCAGACCCAGACTCTGCTGGCCTCTCAGGGCCCAGCAGGAGGGAGGAGGCAGTGGACTGGAATAAGCTCAGCTGGTAAGAGTTTCATTAAATGAACTTAGGTGTTGCTAAAGGAATCTTAATATGGGAGTTTTAAAACCTCATTTCTTTTATCTATTTAATGCTTTTTTTTTTATTCTTCCGATATCCTTAATAGAAAGAAAGATGGGGTGGGGATACATAGAATAAAGCCTCTGCTAAAGTACCTGAGACTCATCTTAGTTGAGAGTTTTTCACAAAAAATGTGTTTGTTCTGACCCATCCTTTCATCTTCATTTTTCCAGAAACACTTAAGCACTTGTCTTCACCGGGGTGAGGGGAGTGGTGTCCTCTTCCACTGAAGGCTCTGGCCCAGCCACGTGTGGGAGGTAACTGGCTCTAAGCAGAGTAGGTTCATTGTATGAACACAAAAGGGGGCCAGGGGCTCCCCGCCCTGCCTGGGGCTGCCCCGCACCTGGAGTGATTTTTACTTTGAATGGCTTTTACTACCCCCTCCAGAACCCACATTTTCATTGCATAACAGTTTTTTCCAAGTTTCCCAATGTCCCCAAAATGATAAGATAATAACAAAAACCACATCCAACTTCATAATAAAAGCCAGTAACATGGTTTGCCCTCCAGTTCCACTGTTTGCTTTTGATGTTGATTGGACAAACAGATTAAGACAGGGCTTGGGTTGGGGATTGGTTTATATCCACTGTCATCACACTCGTGGGCTCCCCATATAAGTGTCTCCACAGTATGAGGGGCAGTGGGGGCTTCAGGTCAGGCCCTCAGCCACCTTGAGGTACACCAAGAGGGTGTTTTTATGCCTGGGAGTTGGCTCAAATTCATCCCAGAGTAGAAACCACATAAGCAACATGTTCCTTCAGCCTTTCCCAAAGCCGAAGTAGACTGGAGTAGGGGACACCGGGAAATCCCTGTTCATACCCAAGGTGCCCCCAGCACAACCACCATCTCAGTAGAAAGATGAGGGTCCACCCTGGAGCAGGAATGCCTGAGGTGTCTGAACACCGAATGTCCTTCCTCCTAATCCACTGTGCAGACTATTCAAATAAACTCAACAGGCATAGTAATATCCAAGCCCCTGTATGTCAACCTCATTTTGCAGCCTAGCCTATAGCACAGGTGCTCTCTGGTCTAGTTAGCTGGAGCCCTCACTGGCAGCACCCCAAGCTGCTCCCTGAATGTTTGCTCTAATCCCTTCGTGGCATCATCGCCATCTTGGTCTAGCTCTTGCTCAGACAAGTCATTAGTATTTCCAAGTTTCCTTCTCTGTGAGGTGGGAAGGATGTCCTCATAGGGCAGTCTGGAGGACCAGCCATGATCACAGAATCTGAATCCACTTAGAGTCCCAGTGGGCACTCGACAAATGCCAGTAAAACTCCCCCAGAGCCTAGGACAAGGAAGGGTATGTAGCAGGCACTCAGGTGACTTTAGCCTTGAGAATAAAACTACCAGAACTGCCTGGAGGAAAAAGACACCTTTGTCATACTATTGCTGGCTCTCTGGTCTGTGAAAACAGAACCACAATATTAGACTTGAGGCCACAATTACAGTGTTCAGGACATCCTTGCTTGGTCTAGACATAACATAGCAGATCCTAATTTTTTGAACATGAAAAGTATGTAAAAAGAATCCCAAGGGGTATAAGATAAAAAGAAAAGGGGGAAGAATTTTGTTGGCTTCTACCTAAATCTTAATTTCCTGCTTTAGCAAGATGACTCTAAGGACGCTTAAAGGAGAAGCTAAAATTTGGCACAGAGTTTCCCATACCCAAGTGTACTTCTTACAACTACATTCTCTCCATTTTAGAGCTGAAGAAAACAAAGGTAAACAAAGTGTATGTGTTCCCCCAAATCATATAGAGCTGGGAATCAAGCTTAAGTTCATCTAAGATCAAAATCCACACCCCTCCTCTTCAGCAGGGAAAATCAGGCAGGTGGCTGATGGCTGGGTGTGTCTCTGCCAGGATGTTGACCAGCTTTTCAGAGGGAATCTACTTTTTCCTCAGAGATTTCTGGTGCAACCATATTTTGTTTGGGGGAGAGAAAAGTCACTGCTAATATAAGCCAGAGTATTTAACAACGCCATGGTCATATTTCACAATCTTCCTGCAGCCCAAAGTAAAAACAGAGGTTCACCTATTTTCCCTTCCTGCCTTATGTTTTTCCTCTCTGCTAAGAGTGGTTGCTGATTATTTTCTAAGGTCCCAAAACTTCAAGTTAGATCTTTCTTCCCTAAATGTCTCAGTGTACTAACCAACTTTTTCATATCCAGTTTGCCTTTTCCAAGATACGAGTAGTAGATGCTTTGTGGCTGCTGACAAATTTCAGAGTTCATGCCCCAGCAGGGTGGTGGCTGCCTGATTTTCTGTGACCAGTTCCTTCACCTCCTCCAGTGTGACTCCACCAACCTCAGCCTCTCACAACTGAAAGCAGGATGTGCAGCCCCTTCTTAATCTTTTATAAATCACTCCATGCTTCTCCTTCTTCATATTTCTGCCTTTCCCAGGGCAGGAAATCACCTCCTCCAGATGACAAGACCATTCAGGAGCACATCTTTACCTCAAAATCTGTGACACATGGCTTTCCATTTTCTTTAGCTACAAGTAACTCAGGCTATTCAGGATTTTGTCGGATGGGCCTCATAAAATTCCCATAGCCAACCAGATAGAAACATGGTCCTTAGGCACAAATTAAGGCATAACTATTTAACAAGCCCATTCTTCATTCACTACCCATGCCCCATTGCATTCCCACTGTTTTAAATCTTCCATAATTAGTAACAGCCACCATCATTTATCAAGAACCAAGTCGTTTGGACATTAACCACATGCATTATCTCATTTAATCCTCTTGACAAATTTAGGAGAAATCAGAGGCTTGGAGGTTACATAAGTCATCTCGGGTCACCAAGTAGGCGTGGGGTGAGGATTCAGACCTAAGTCTGACATAGTACTGTCCACTATCATTACGTAATGCCATGTTAGTCACAATAGTCTTTTCCCTCAGTAAATAAGCACTTCAAGAATCTCTTGTAGATCAATACAACAACAGAAGAGCCCAGAAGGCCCTTTTTGTAGGTTGACATGCTTTTTAACACAAAACAGGGTGGTCAAAAGAAAGAGGGAAAAGTTTTCTTTAAATACACATGGGGCTAAAGAATGCTTTCACTTCGGGCCTCTTTCCTCCTATTAGAAATGTGTATAAAACCTCAGAGAGGTCAAATGAGCAATCCCTGGAATAAATGGAATGAGTCTGTGGTCTGTTTCCCATCCCCGTGTTTATATTCCTGACTGGGAAGACAGAGCTGATATGACAAGTCTCAAATAAGAGAAGGCAACAGGCCTGCCTCCTGTGCTGATTAACCACTGCCTTCTCTTGGCATTGCTGCCTGGCCTCACTCCAGTCAGTGAGTCATAAAGTGAGGGTAAGTCTCCAGGGAGGTGAATACCACAGCTGCACAGTCATGAACCAGAAATGACAAGACACAGGTGGTTAGGGCGTTTCTTTCTCCATGGGCTCACTCCCCTGCATCACTAATGTGCATCTAACCAAAGGAAGTTCCCAAGCTGTCCCATAACCAGGTAAGAATCTGGAATGTTCATCTGAGCCAGCTCAACCAGCCACTTAAAACTAAGACTGTAACCCCCCTACCCCCGCTGAAATGTGTATAAAACCTCAAAATGGCTTACCTTTGCTGAACTTTCAGACAGAAATACTTCATTACACTTGAGAGGGCAGCTGGCAAGAGCAACCCAGCTCTGCCCCCATCACTTCACGAGACCCATTTTTAAAAAATGTTCTTAATGATCGAGAGACTGCAAATGGAATTTGCCTGCCAAGATTTACTTGGCAAAAGAAAGATACTCTATCTCCTAAAATATAGGTTTAACATCAGCTCCAATCTTCCTGTGGCTAAACTTTTCATCTACTTGCCAGAAAGTTCAGTCTTGACATATGAAAAGCCAGCATCTAAAAAACTTTAGCACCCCATTGTCTAACCCACTTACCCTCACTGTTGGAACCGATGTCATCAATGCGACCCTGTGGTGAAAGGTGACCTGGCACAGGATAATTTAGAAGAACTGACTCTTGTTCAGGATGGGCTGGAAGGCTACCCACTTCTGCAGGTAATGCCCTTCCATCTGGGTGGGGCTGCATGCTTGTATTTTCATGGTAGGATGGTGGGGCTTCCTGGGCAGGATCCAGTGAAATCCTTTCTATCTCTGATGGTGCCAATCTTCTGAGCCCTGGCTGTTCAGAAGACTCGGCTTGGCCTTTAGTATCTAAGACATATGTATTCTCCAGCGGTCTCCCCACTTTGGTTTGAGGGTCCATGATAGTGGACTGTGTTTCAGGGTAAAATGGCCACTCACTTGGTGTTAAATGTGGTAAAGGGGAGGCCAGATCAGAATCTGAGGGAGAGATTCCATGTCCCGTGGGCCTTGAATCAGCTTTAGAATGAGAGGAAAGTTCAGTATGGCCATGGCCATTTGAGGTCTTCTCTAGGCTATCTGGGGGATCTTCAACGTCCTCCTTGATCTCATCATAATAATCCAAATTGTCTTCAGTATAGTCTCTTTCTAGGTCTGCAGCATGACTGAAGGAATGTTCCAGGGGAGCTGAAGAGGAGGCTTTGAAAAGAACTCCAACTGTTGCAGGCCTGACATTTTCCAGCGGGGAGGTGCTGCCTATATGAAAAGCCCACACTCCAGGAATGCCCAGGTTACTGTGTCTAAATTAAAAGGAAATAATGACTTGTAACAAAATTGTCCATTCCTTATCCCACTTTCCTATAAAGAGCAATTTATTTTAAAACTGAAAGACTACGAAATTCAGATTCCATTTTTACCAGAATATTAAACCAAAGAAAAACAGATGTAACATAATAACTAAACAGATTATACTGGGATTTTGATGTAAAATATCTTATGTAGTAATAGGTTTCAATGACCATCGAGTCAGAAATCGACTCTATAACCCACACGCTTATCTAAAACCTGGCTATTTGAAAATAAACAGAAGGTGGAAATATTTTATTCTACCTCTACTTTTAACATAAGAAAACATAAGCTTAAAAATCTTTGTCAAACACTTAAATAACAATACTGCAGGCTTTTGGGAATAAGTTACATGGCAGTTGGTAAGCCAAGTACTTACCTTCAATGCAGTCTGCAAGATATGGGCAGTGACTCAATTTTATAGAAAAAATAATTTTAGAGAGGCTAGTCAATTTTCCTGAGGTCACACAACTTGTAATTAATAAATTTTGGATGGGGATTCAGAACTAATAGCAAGTCTATGCACTAAACATCTACCTCATATTATGTCAGTAAATTCATACTGTGTCATATTATGTCACTATACTTCATCAACATCTGAATTATCATTAGTTCACAAAATGTTAGACATTTCACATTTAGCCACATATATTAATCAGTTGATTCACAAAGAATGATGAATACAAAAATTCAAAGAAATCTAAATGCTCAAGTCTAAAAAATATTGAGCAAATGCATAAAGTTAAGAGGAATATAACAGCTTAATCAAAATGACCTAAATCATAGGTGAGAGGTATTTAGAAATATCTGGAACAAGAGAGCTCACACTCTCTTCTCTATGAGAATAGAAAAGGGACACCATTCATTACTCCAAAATATCCTAGTGATTCATTATTTTAAAGTCAATGTTATATTCTGAAGAGGAGACTTATCTACATAAAATCTTTTTTAAAATTACAAGAAAAAATTAATCAAACAAGGTTCTGGCTTGCTTGAAACACCAGTTGGTGTACTTCCTTGGGTTATGTCCAAAATATCAGGATGAAAGCTTTCCATGGTATAGAAGATCTCCTTAAAAGTCGGTAAATAAGGAACAATTATATGGAAACACAAAAGACTCAGAATAGCCAAAGTAGTCTTGACAAAAAAACAAAGCTGAAGGCCTCACACTTTCTGGTTTCAAACTATATTACAAAACTACAGTAATCAAAATAGTATGTTAGTGTCATGAAAAACAGATATAAATCAATGGGACAGAACAGAAAACCAAGAAATAAACCTACACATAAACGGTCAATTAATTTATAACAAAGGATTTGAGAATATACGATGGGAAAAGACAGTCTTTTCAATAAACAGTTCTGGGAAAATGGGACAGGTACATGCAAAAGAATAAAAATAGAACACTCTTACACAATACTGAAAAACTAACTCAAAATGGATGAATGCATTGAACATAAGATCTGATACTTTAAAAATCCTGCAAGAAAGGCAGTAAACTCCCTGGTATTTACTCCAAAAGTAAAAATAAACAAGTGAGACTACATCCAACTAAAAGCAAAATAAATAGTCAATAAAATGAAAGGGCATTTATTAATTATTTCTTTTACTACACAGAAGCTTTTAGTTCATATCTGGTCACAGGGTGAATATCCAAAAAATACAAGAAACTTATATAACACAATAGTTAAAAAAATAAACAATCCGGGGAACGATATAGGAATAGATATTCCTCCAAAGAAGCCATGTGGGCAACAGGCACATGAACAGATGCTCAACACTGCTCATCAGGGAAATGCAAATTGAACCACATTAAAATGTCACCTCACACTTGTTAGAATTGATATTATAGAGAAGAAAATAAACACATGTTAGTGTAGATGTAGAGAAAAGGGACCCTTGTGTGCTGTTGGTAGGAATGTTAACTGGTGTAGCCACTATGGAAAACAGTCCAGAGAGTCCTCAAAAAAACCCAAATAAAGCTAACATGAACTAGCAATTCCATTTATGTATAATTATCTGAAGAAACAAAGACACTAATTCAAAAAGATACATGTAATTACATGATCATTGCTACATTGTTTGTAACAGTCAAGTATAGAAACAACCTAAGTCCACTGATGAATGGATAACAAAAATGTGGTATGTATTTATACACACACACCACACATACTCATATGTATGTGACACACATATAATAATATTATTCAGTTATAAAAAAAGAAGGGAATCTTGTCATTTGTGACAACTTGGATAGTGACTGAGAACAGTATGTTAAGTGAAATAAGAGATAGACAAACACTGTATGGTCTCACTTATGGATGGCATCTTCAGAAAATTAGCAAAAGCTCCTATATACAGAGGACAGAGTGCCTGTTAACAGAGAAAAGGAGTAAGGGGAGAGGGGAGTGTGAGTGAAATGGGTGAAGTAGGGTAAAAAGTAAAACTTCCAGTTCCAAAATAAATAAATCATAGAGGTTAGAACATCATGGTGACTACAGTAAATAATTCAGCATTGTAAATTTGAAAGTTGCTAAGAGAGTAGATCTTAAAAGTTCTTACACAGAAAAAAAAAGTTATAATTGTCTATGATGATGGATGTTAACTGGATTTCCAATGATTATTTAATAATATTTACAAATGTTGAATCATTATGTTGTACAATTGCCACTCACGTCTATTACTAAATCAAACAAGGGGGAAATCAGTGAGTATGGTATGAGTTAATGACTAATAAGAAAGTGATGAGTCAGCATAAAAATAAGAGACCTTTGCTCATTTAGGTAAGTACTTACTACATTCAGATGGAATGCTATAGCAATGTTTTTCAATACAATTCTGAAATTCTGGATACTTCCCTTCTCTCCCTCATCCTCTCTTCTCCTCTCTGGTGTGCACAGGCCATGTGTGGTGCTGCTGGTGCAACATTTAATTTTAAAAAAGAGGCATCCAGAAAGCAAAACTGTGATCCTCTACACAATGTGTTATGAATACTTGGCAACCTGGTGTGTCGGAAAAGCAAATAATGAACACTAAAGAGAGGAGGAGAGAATCCAAAAGATCTGAAGATACTGAGTTTAATGTCACATAGGAGGTGTTGCAGCTGTGAAATTTCTTCTTGAAGTTAAAAACAGAAAATAATAAAAATTTCAAAGAATAGGAAAATACAAATTTGGCAGGAAAAAAGCTAAATACAACAACTTAATTAAATTAAATCACTGTCTGCTTTTATCATTGTACATGCTTGAAAAATAACCAATTTAAGTTTTATCCTAAAATCTATGGTCATTTGGAAAGAAAAATAACTGTATTCTTTAGAAATGCATACTGAAGCATTTAGGAGTTAGTGGCATGAAGTTTGACATTTACCTTAATACTTAAGTCAATACTTAAGGGATAGAAAAAACTTATTTCCCAGAAAGGAAAACAAAGCTACAAGATAGGGTAACAGTGACTTCCTCCCTGGGCTTTTAAGAAGATAAAGTGATAAAACCACATAAAAAAACCTAACACAGGGTCCTACACATTAGCACTTAGTATTTTCTAGGAAACAGAGTTCTAAGTACAATCTGAAAAGATGCAAATCGGTGCATTTTTTATTTAAATCTGCAGAAGAGTTGTGCCAAATGCTATAAGCTACATAATGTATGACCTTTGAGTTTATAGTTATGAGACAAATTTACAGAAGACAAAGATTCTATAAACCAGGAAAATAACTTTATTCTTTGGAAATGATACCGAAGCATTTAGGAGTTAGTGGCATGAAGTTTGGAATTTACGTTAATACTTAAAAAAAAAAAAAAAAGAGAGAAAATGGAAAAACACTGACAACTTACAAACCCAGGGTGGCAAGGATTTGTGTGTTCATTTAGTTATTTGCTCTACTTTTCTGTATATTTTTGAAATTGAAGTAATATAAAGTAAAATAGAAGATTAAGTTAAAGAACGTTTTTGTGATTTCAAGGTAAAGAAGACATTTCTAAAAAGAACAGTAATGCCTGCAATCACAAAAGGGACCAAAAACTGACAACTCTAAATTTATAACTCCTAGATTGTAAGTAACTTTAAAGATAAACAAGTGGATAAAAATAATCGAAGCAGATAAAATGATTAATAGCCTTACTGTATTTTTTTCTTATTTGTAAAAGCTCTGCACAACCCCAGTAGAAAGTAGCAAAGGACGTAGAAAGATAAATCACAAAACATAGAGAAATGACCATTAAATAGCTAAAAAGGTGTTTAGTTTTACTAGTAGTCAAAGAAGTTGAGTCAAAATAGCAACACTTTATACCTGTCAGACTAACAAATACAAAGAAAAAAGAATTTGTAGGAAACAGATATTGTCAATATTGTCAAAATCTCGAAGTGAATTGTGACAATGTAAGTTGTTGAGATGTTTCTTAAAGACAATTTGTTAGTAGACTTTAAAGTGCTGAAGTGCATATATCCTTCCTCAGCAATTTTACTTTTAATGATTTATTTAAAAATAAACAAGAATCTAAGCAACATTACGCTGTTTACTGCAACAAAATAACAGGAAAAGTCCCTCTGTCAGTTGTTTTGCCATAATTATATTCTACTTCCATCAGCAACTCAGAGGTGTCTGGGAAGCATCAGAAATAAAGTGGAGGGAGGCAAATGGAAGTTGTGTGTGTGTGTGTGTGTGTGTGCAGGTGTCTGAATGGGGGAGGATCATATAAGGGCCTTACAGGTTTTCGCCACCACCACCTTGCACCACTGTGTAGACATTAACACTTACTCCAGTGCTCTTAAGTTGTTGATTCATTTGTCTACCCTATTAGAATGCAATTCACTACTTGTAGGGCCTGTGCCTTATCTTTCTTCCAAGTGCATTGCCCACTGTGAGCTCTTGATAATGCCCGATGAGTAGAGAATCTGTGGGCTTCACAGAAGAGGCTGGAACCAAGGGAGAGGAAGCAAGGAGCTAAATTTTCTTCAACCTAAACTAAAAGTCAGCCTAGATGGAAACCCAAAGAGGTCCAATATGGGTGATAAGAATAGGAAAGGATGGCCAGTTGTGGTGTCTGAATGATTCCAGGGCCCAGCTAAGGGACCAAGTTTTTGGAGTCTCAAAAAGGAAACATTCCAATATATGAATTTGTTTTCCATTTCACCTTCATTCACCAAACAGCTACCAAGAACAAAGGTCACATCTCTCAACACCGAGCAAATGAATACAAGTATTGCCTCATGGCTGCTGAAACTAGCAGGAAGTTGGAGAAGTAGCTGATGCTTATAGAAGGAAAAGAAATAGCTTCTGCAGTGGCCTTCACATCTTCAGAAAATAACAGTCACATTCCTGAAGAGCCTGAGGAGACAAGCAAAAGACCCTCATAGAAGAAAAACCCAAAACCCCAGGAAATTTCGAAGAAATCTGGAAGATTCACCTGGCTCTTTTTCCAAACCCAATAAAAAAGAAAACTTTTTCCAAGGAAGAATTAGTAGTGATCTTGAAAAGATAACTGGCAGTGGGAGTCCTCCCAAGTGGGAGAAATCTGTCCTCAGAGAGGAACTAGTTAGTGACCAAGAAAAGACAGGAACAGATTTGTCTCCAAGAAAAAGTAAATTCTCTCCCAAGGAGCAGTCGCTCAGCTGCAGACTTGAAAAGGCTGCTGACAGAAGAGTAATACCTCCAAGAAAAAATTCCTAAAACTCTCACAAGATTAGAAAGGACAATTCCCTTATAGGCACACCCTGTGGTGGCATTTTACAACCTCTCTCCCATACACCCAAAGAAAACAAAATTCTCTCTCTCTCTGTTTCTCTGTCTTTCTGTCTGTCTGTCTCTGTCTGTCTGTCTGTCTGTCTGGTGCTCTCTCTCTCTCTCACACACACACAACAGACTAGGGTCCAGCATAAAATAAACAATTCAGACTCCAGACATGTGCTTGAATTTTGTCTTTACCAATTAATTACCTTGAGATCATAGGTAACTAACTTAACTTCTTTAAGTTCATTTGTCAAGTCAAAAAAAAAAAAAATAGAACTTAACCTGCAAGAATTCTGCGAGCTTTAATTAAGGTAAATTCTACAAGTGTTTAGCACCATATTTGGCAAACACTAAGTTCTTGATAAAGTTCAACTCTGCACAGAGTCCGCTCTGAGCAGAGGAGACATCCAAATACGTAGGGTGTGTCAGCATGCAGGAGCAATGTAATGAAACAGAAGCAGTCGAGAAAGCCTAAGTAACCTTTACATTCTGTCTGGTTTCTGGTTCACATTCATGAAAGGAATAAAAGCAAAGAGATACCCTAAGAAGTTATAAAATTCATAAATATCAAGTGATGCTAACTCATTCACTGGTGTGATGTGGACCCTCAAAACACAAAGTGGCTGTTACTACACTGGTGGAGCAAGCCCCTGCGGGGCAAGCCAGTGCTCAGCCTGGCGCCTCATGGAGAACCAGGCAGTAAGAGTTCATAACAGAGCCATGGAGCAGTCCTGAAACTTCCAAAATTCTACCAGTCTGTTTGTTTGTTTTTCCCCTTAAGTGGTACTACTACCAATTTAACTTTAAATATTTATCTGTCTAAAGACTAAATCACAATGTCATCTCCTGTGAAATCATTAACCTGGAAAAAACTCAGCATGGAGAGTTACATTACTGGCTATTTTTATGTGGTTCCAAGAGCAATATTTTCCATAGCAAGCCTTAGTGGCTCAACACACACACACACACACACACACACACACACACACACACACACAATTCTGTTTCCTTTATCTATATCAAATAGGACAGGAAAAATAAAAATAAAGAACTCTGTATTTTGGTGAACTTGCTCCTCCCAGAGACTAAATGTCTTCTTTGGAAGACACCAAGATAGTATTTAATGGGCTTATAGCCTCTAAAGTTGAACAATTCCTTAGAGTCCTGACACCCCAACAGGAAAGGGCCTAAGCCCTGTGTTACTTACTGGTAAAGATTTTTCACAGACTGTTCTGTGCTAGTCAAGCTGAAATAAGGTCCCTCTCGCTTCAGGTCATCAGCCTCCCCTCGGCCGAAGCCCACCCGGGCTGGAAGCTCAAGCTGGACATTGTACGATTCTTTGGGGCGGGTTCCAAAGAACTGAAGGCCATTGGCAGGATAAAGAAAGAGGGCGTAGGTATCAGACCCATCAGATACCAGAACTGCCTGGAAAGTATTCAGCTGTGAAAAAAAAAATAAAGGAAACATTCTTAATAAAACAAAGAACGAAAAATAAAACAGAATGCAAGCAAGGCATCATTAAGTACGAAAGGGTTCCCCTCTTCTTAAAATTTCACCAAATTGTTTTTATACATAATAAATATATTTTTTAATTTCTTCCTCAGGTTATACTTTTATAAGCCATATCATAAGTGTAATCATTTTCTCCATTTTGATTAATATGCACTGCTAAAAAAAAAAAACCCGAGGTTTAAAAAATTAATGCATTCATTAATCCCTCTGCACATTAATTCATATAGTCAGGGGCCTACAGAGCATGAGGCATGAGGCTTGAGGCTAGTGCTAGAGCAGCAGAGGATGGAAGACTCTGCCCAGGAAGCCTCAGGGCTTAGGACAAACAGCCACCTGAACTGTAGAAGTGACTGAAGGAGGTGGCAGCGGCCACAGAAGAGGGTGTGTGCCCAAGTCCTCAGGTGACTTGCCGTGAGGAGGCGTCACTGAGACGGCTGGTGAACGTTAAGAAAACACAGCAGGAGCCAGATCAGACCTGAGACACACCCGGAGCCTGAATTAGCCTCAAACACAACATGCAGGTCCCCACAGACTTTAAAGTTGAATTTGCTTTGCAGTTTCAAACAGATGCTTGTTTGCCTTAATCTATAACCAGGTATCTTTTTCCCCACTACATTGATTTGTTAATGTTGTTCCATAATCTTTAAAAGAAGTTATTTTTGGGATGCAGAACAGCTCCCTCACTAAAACCCACTCCTTTTCTAATTTAGTGGAGGACTAGGGAGGCTTTTTGTTTGCTTGTTTATTTATTTTAAATAATCTGACTCTTAGAAATATTATTTACAGCCGTCCCGGTGGCACAACAAGTTAGGACACAGCAAAGCAAGCCCGCAGCAGCTTCAGTGTGAGTTCGACCCCTGCCCCTGAGGTGACCCACATGGCAGGGCAGACCTCTCCTGACCCGCCCGCTGCTCCCCTTAGCAGTGTTCTTCATCAATCTGCCTGTTCTGCTCCCAACTCCGTCTCTGGTGAATCCTCTCACTGCCCCTGCACCGTTGGCCCGTACCCCAGTTCTGTATGCACAAATAAATCTTAAAAAAAAAAAAAAAAGAAATATTATTTACTAGTACAGCCTTATTTCCCACTTTTTTGGCGAAATAGTATCAGGCACAGAAAAAAAAACATCATATTTTACTACATAAAACCTGGCAACCTAGAAGAAAATGCCTGAATTGTGTTCTGTTTTGGGTCCTGCTCCATTTTGTTCTGAAGCCCTCTGCAAGTTAATTCTTCCTTTCAAGTTTAGCTTCAGTGCTTGGAGCTTTTGTATGCAAGGTAAAGGCCTTCAGATGTTAAGATACTTTTCAAGAAAGACACCTTGCCTCCTTTGTTTCAGTTTGCTCCCTTTAAGTTAACAAACTTCAAGACAGGGGTCCTATATCTGTTATTATTGTAGCTGTTGTTTGTTTCATCCACAAGCCTGACTTCACAAAAACAAAAAAAAAGGCCAAGAAGGGATGTTTTCTGAAATTCCTCCCAGCTAGAAAGCGATAACTTTTGCCAAATGTAAACAAGGCTGTTCTGCCTCAGTCCATACATAATATATATTACGTCACCCATTCACATTGATTCATCACTTCAGAGTTTAACTTTGCTCAAAAGACATAAAGTTCAACCAGGGAAAGAAAATACAGGAGGAGGTGAAGGGGCCTGTTTGAAAAAGCTAAGCTTTCAAAACTCCTGGAGTTTCAAAACCCCTCCCCACAATCATGTTAGATAGGAGAAAAAAATCCTGGTTCTGAGTTTAGAGAAAAATCTATCCGATAAGGGAGGCCTGTAGATTGTGAAGGAACTGAAGGGGCTTGGGGTAGAGGCAAAAGTAAACAGCTGTGAAGGGGAAAGTCTGGGCTTTTATTATGGGGTCTGGGTGGTTCACACTTTTTTTCATTCTTGCAGTCAGTCAACAAATTCATTTCAATAAAAATGCAGCCAATGTCTTTTCTATGTCTGAGACAGGCACACATTATAGATGGTAAGCATTTGGTGGACTTGTGGCCACTGAAACAGGCCAACAGGGGAATCTTAAATCGAACGGATGATCCCAAAGAATCTGGCTGTTCAAAAATCACCACATGCCAAATGATCACTTGTAAAGTTGGCTCTAAATTCTACAAGTAGTCACTAAAGAGCCCACTTGGTGAAGTACTGAAGGGCTCTCTCCACTCCCCTCTCCCCCCAGACAGGAAAAGTCTTCACATTTCTAGAGACAAATCTTTGCAAGAACCCCACATGCTGATTCTAAAGGGAAGCCCTGCAAAAAGGTCACCACTTGCCAACTTCCCTGCGTCCCACCGGGAAGAAGAGCAGCACAGAGGATCAGGGCCAGTGGCACTCAGCCTGCAAGCTCCCCCACCCCATCCACTCCTCCCTTCCACCCCCCATTCTGTTATCAGAGAGAGAAAAGCCAGACCCTTTAGCAGAAGCCAGTATAGGACTATCACCCATCAGGGGTCAGGGGTTCCCAGGCAGGCCCATGGATACAAAACATGCCCCTCTACAAGTTTCTAATAATTTTTGCAATTCATTTAATTAATTTCAACTATCTGGCAAAAAAATCAAATCAGTGCTATTCTTGTCTCAAGGGGTCTGCCTATGGGTGACTTACAAAAATTACAATGAAATTAAGAAACAAGGTCAGAGTCCTCTTTCCTGTCAGGGTGACAGGAAACTAAGATGCTGCTTAGTTCCAGCATCACTGATTTCTGGCTTCTGTGTCTGGTGTGAACACTAACCTCATTCCTTAGGAGAAGCCCCCGTCTCCTGTTACTGGAGTGCCATTGTCACATATATGATTTGCCCCATTCATTTTTGTGGCCTAACTCCTATAGACCCTGCCCAAAATGCAAAGCTTAGTGCTATCACAGTCCAAATAATATGTCATTTGTGACACTTACTCTTTAGCAAAACTTCAGCATTTCTCTAGCCAATTTTCATGTATGTCTCTGTTCTCTACATCATCATAGCTATCCCTAAGACTTGGTTTAAATTCTTTCAGACAGACAGTAGACCTCCCGCTGCTGGACCTCAGCTCTAGAAGTTGAAACAAAGCCTTGGTTTTACCTCCCATTTTCTCTGTGACTCCAGCCCCCCTTTTTAAAGGACAATCATCCTTTGAAACAGGTCCATATGCCTTAGTCCCCAAAGAAAAGCTTTAGTGGGCCATCTTCCACCCATGTTGACACCCCACAACTCCCTCCTCCAACCTCAGACCTCCTAGCCTTCTCCCAAGACAGGTCTCAGCTCTGAACAATCCCTCTTATTGCCTTATTGTTAAGGTCCATTCATAATATCTATTCTTTCAGCCCAACTGAAATTGCAGATCAACAAAACATCACCCACACCACACAGAACTGTATACCCCAGTTCTCTATAACCCCATCCTATGAATATCAGTAGTAACTACAGAACAATACTCACTCCCCCCTCCACCGGAAAGCCATACAACGGAAGTGACCTATAGTCCTCATTATCTCTCCTGTTAATAAGTACTTTGAAGGTCAATACCCATGACAATTCAAGGCATCTCAGATTAACTGAAGTGGTAAACACTAGTTGTTCAGTTGTTTTCAGACATTGTTACAACTTGATATTCCTGCAATATCAAGTAAACTATCCTGTCACACCCACATGAATATCCATGGAGAGAAAGGGCAACAATTAAAACTGTTTAGATGGTAAAGATGTCTTCCTCTGATATCAGTAACTTCAGTAACTTTGCAACATAAAGTTGGTATGCCAAGGTTTAAGAAACTCATGTAAAACTCACATGACCTTTCAAGCAAAGTAAATTATTTGCCAAACGCTATCTACAGAACTATTTAAAGAGTCACAGTGCTCTGTAAAGGAATCAGAAGAGCCCACCTCAACATGGGTAATTGGGAAAACATCCTCTCTCCAAACAGAATCCTTATCACCCTTCTAAATGAAACAAATTCTGAAGCCAACTCAACATATGGCAATGTCTGAAGAATGATTTTCATTAGGAAAGTAAAAGAGAGATGGAATCCACAAATCTTTTCCTACTCCCCTCAAAAGAAAAGGCCCAAACAGCAACTGTAATTCAGAAAACTTTGTATCTAAAGAATCTTTATGTATTACAGCATCTGTATAAGACAAAGAAATAAAAGAACAAGAATCTGGATCTACCAAGGTAATGCAGGGGAACAGAGGGGTCATACTAAATCCAAGATAGAGAGTAATGGCTACTTACAAGGTCACCTTCATTAATTCTCACAAAAATCCTGTCAGATGGCACTGATACTCCATTTCATAGATTAAGAAATTAAAACTGAGGTTGGGTCACTGCTCCCAAAGCCACTCTTTCAACATGTTTTAATATCTATTATCATCATCTGTGCAACTACTCTGAAAGTTGGGTAAGGAAGGTATTATTCCCATGAAACTGAGAAAAATTATTTTAGAAGTCACTTTATTGTGCAATCAACTAAAGCGCAGCACTGAGAAGCTAGCTGCAGCCACTTCAGCATAAAGTCAGTCCCTGGCCCTAGAAGTGACCCACGTGGCACAACAGACCTCTCCTGTCTCTCGCCGCTACTCCCCTCAGCAGTGTACTGAGGGATCTGTCTCTGGTGAATCTTCTCACTGCCCTTGCAGCTCTGGCCTGTACCTGTACCCCAGTTCTGTATGCAGAATTTTTTTTTTTTTTTTAGAAATAAATCTTTACCCAAAAAAGTCACCTTGCACTATAATGCTTAGTTTCAAATAACCTGATAAAATTAGCGTCTTCAGGTTCTATCTAGAGTCATTTCATCACACCAGAGCTTCTGTACAACTAACTGCTCATCTCAGATTTATCTTATTCAGCTCAACTTTTATCTTTTCTCTGTTGAAAAAGTATAGCAAATACAGCTGAATTCTCTTCAGAGCACTGGAATACTAATTTTGAGGTAGTAAGACCTCAATAGTGTTTTTGGCATTGGATTTTATACCACATTCATTCTCCTTTTAAATAAAATATGGTTCCAAGGATTCTTCTCGTTTTAAGGTCACATTGGAACAATAAAACTCAAGCCTGACTTATTGGAAGTCTTTGGAAAAGGTACAATTATTGTGCATACCTCTATCACTTGTGCAAAGGAAATGGGTCTTGCACAATGTAAAGTCTGTGTAAAAGCAACAAAAACAACAAAGATTCAAGAAATCTGTATTCTAAACCTGCCTTTGCCTCACTAAGAGCAGGGGTACTTGGACTTCTTTTTGCCATTATCTGTGAAATGAAAACAGTAAGTCTTGTATTTACCTCAAAGGCTTGTTATAGGAAGACAGTATAATAAAATAAAGAATTTATAAGCTAGCTTGCATAAACAGCTTAAGAATAATTGTCCAAGTAATCAGACTTTCCTTTGAGGCCAAACCTTCTCACTACAGTCAAAAGGGAAAAAATCCTGCTTAAAATTCTTCAAAGATTTCCCACTGCCAAAGAAGGAGTCCAAACTCCTAGCAGAATTATGATCTTTCCCCACCCCACAGCCTTCCCAGACTCATGTCCTACCACCCTTCTTCAGTAATAACGTGCAACATTCTGTGCCAACACATTACACTGTATAGCACATGGGTGAAATGTTGATGCCAGCCTTTCTACTGGGAATGTTCTACTCTGCTCAACTCAAATTCCAAGCTACTTTCTCACTGAAACTTTCCCAGAAACAGTCCCCTACCGTACTTAGTTTCCTTAAGTCAAGGTATGACTTTATTGATCACATTAAATAATTCTCAGTGATCCTATTATATTAAACTCCAAATTCTTAGGAGTAAAGAGCATGTCCTCTAATGATATCGCCCCAGTCCTACTAGGGTTGTTGGATAAATATCAACTATGTTTAAATGCAAATTACTCATGCACATACATATGAAAATATCACATATAAGATAAATACTTAGTAAAAAAGACTAGAAAGAATGATAAAGTATTAGAATGGTGGCCTCTGATTGGTGAAACTATAAATAACGTTTATTATTTTCTGTTTTCTGAATTTTTATGTGCTGTTAGGTACTGGTGACATAATATAGGCCTGGTAATTTTAAATACATTATTAACTTATAAAAATTTTTAAACTCAAACAAAAATGAATGAATGAATGCGGTATAATTATGGGAATCTTACTTTATTCACTTTTCTCCAACCCTCCCACTAGCACAAAGATATTTAAAATTTTTATTGAATTGAAGGTATTTTGTTGAACTGAATATTTGAAACCCCAAACCCATGCAATACAAAAAAAAAAGAATTCAAGAAACAAAACTAGCTATTGCCTGAAAAAAAGTGAATTACAGGGCCTTCCTAGTGGCACCAGGGTTAAATCTCAGGACTATCAAAAGCTTTTACCAGTCACTGCAGCACAAGTCTGATCCTGGCCAGGGAGCTGACACACATGATGCAGCAGACCTCTCCTGTCTCACCCACTGCTCCAGCAGTGTATTTCAGTCAGTCCATCTGTTCTGCTCCCCACTTTGTCTCTGGTGAATCCTTTCTCCTTCCCCACCTCTGGCCTGCACCCCAGCTCTTTCATTTAAATAAAATAAATTTAAAAAAAAACTGAATTACAAAAGGTCACAAATTCAAATGATTTCTATTTCTATGTCTTCTTCGCTTCATATAGTATAGAAAATCTTACTCTTATAGAATGCAGGACAAGAATAGCCACATATTGAGCTACTTGGTGAGAATGGGCAATCTACTTAATTTCTCAGAGATGATTTGTGCCCTCTTACTATGGTTAAGTAACACTTTGATGACTTAAAATAGAGAAAAATTATAATAAGCATTTCAGCCTCTGGAGTAGGCCTCTTTAGATTTAGGTCTAATTTTATTAGGAGGAAGCTCCTGGCTTCTCCAGGAATGAGGCAGTTCTGTTTGCCAAGGTGCCGTGGCCCACCTGACGTCTATTTGGGGTATTTTCAATGTTTCTGCCAAGCCTGCAGATGAGGAGCTCAGGTTTTACTTACTCAGGTAGAGGTTATAAAACAAATCAAGGACGATTTGCTGTAAACTAGGAAGTATATAAACTGGTACTAGAGAACAATTTATAAAAGCTGTCAAGAACTTTATTTAAAAAAAATGCATCCTCGGTCCTCCCTGGTGGCGCAGTGGGTTAAAGGACAGCACGGAGAAGCTAAAGCCGCTCCCGCATGAGTTTGATTCCCACCTGCCCTGGAGGTGACCACATGGCGTGGCAGACCTCTTCTGACCCGCCCGCTGCTTCCCTCAGCAGTGTACTTCGTGGATCTGCCTGTTCTGCTCCCCACTCTGTCTCTGGTGAAGCCACTCGAAGCCCCTGAGCCTCTGGTCTGTACCCCAGTTCTGTATGCACAATAAATCTTTAAAAAAAAATGCATCCTCTCTGGGCCACCAATTCCACCTCTGAGAAGGTCAATTAAGGGCATTATGCAGAGATTCCAGCTTTTAAAAAAAAAGTGCTTCACAAGATTATCTGTAATGATAAAAACTTCTAAAGAGCATGAATGGTCACTGGGCACAATGGCAAATCCACTGTAATCAATATTATGTAGTCATATAAAAGATATCATAAAAATTTATTTACTGGCATTAAAACATATACACAATACAATAGTGGGAGAGGCTTAGGTTACAAAACAGTATGTGTAGTATAGACCATCACAGTGACAAAGAGATACAGATATGGAAACAAACAAAAACTCTGATACACATGAAAATGTTTAACAGTGATTACTTCTGAGCAGTAGGAAAATGAGAGGTTGTTCTCTTTTAAATTGTTTGTGTTTTCTGATGTTTTCCCTTCAATGGATATATAATTAGAAATCATTCTTGTATATTTAGAGGTGATTCTAAAAATAAATAATCAAATTGTAAAGAGCCCTTGGAATTAGGAGCCTACTGCATCTGTGGGGGTGGAGGGGAGAGGGGCCCTCATAAACCTTAAGAAGTTCTCTCTGGGCCCTCCCTGGTGGCGCAGCGGGTTAAAGCACAGCCCTGAGAATCGGAAGCCACTTCCGATTGAGTTCGATCCCCGCCGGCCCCCAGGTGACCATATGGCAGGGCAGACCTCTCCTGACCCGCCCGCTGCTGTACTTCGTTGATCTGCCTGTTCTGCTCCCCACTCTGTCTGTGATGAATCCTCTCACCGCCCCTGCGCCTCTGGCCTGTACCCCAGTTCTGTATTTACAAATAAATAAATCTTAAAAAAAAAATAAGTTCTCTCTGCTCTAGTGACCACCTCTCAGAAACTGGAGACAACTGCCTTCTTCACTCCCAAGCTACTTCTGCCGCAGTGGCACCAAAGGATACACCAGGTTCAGCGCCAGGAGGGCAGCTCAGGGCAAAGCACAAACTAGTGTCTGGCTGCCAGAATCCAAGCCCATCCGTTAATTATCAGTAGCTCAGGGGCCAAGTATTCCTGATCACTTACTTCTCCGGAAGGTGGTACACCGCGCGTGGCCTCCTCGTAGGCGCCCACATGGTCCCAGGTGGCAAGGAAGACGTGGGTAGGCGTGAAATGTGCCGCAGCTTGCGGGAAGCCCGCGCGCACGTAGCGAGCCGCCAGGCCCAGCACTGCCGCGGAGGTGTCCTGGCGGTACAGAACGCGCCCCCTCCCCTGGCTGGTGTCGATGTCGGCCAGGAAGGGGGCAATGGCCGGGAAGTCTGTGGGGAAATCATCATCCACATACTGAGTCTCCCTGGGGAAGTCCTGAGTGGAGATGATGCCGTTGGTGCCCACCTGGGGGATAAAGGGACAAATGTGACGTCCGACGCCCTGGAGGAAGCGCAAGGGCTGGTCCCCCCCATAAGTCCAGACGTGCGCGCCCACCCTGCTCTTCACGTAAGGAAAGGAACCCCGGGAGGCAGGAAACTCCCCCTTACCCACCCGCAGGAAACCGGAATTCTGGTACCCCGCCACTAGCCCAACTTCAGCTGGTATCCCACCCCATATCTCTCAAGCGGTGCAGGAGTTTTAGGAGTCCCGCACAACCCTGGACAAACGGCTAAGTCCTGGGAGGAAACAACCCTTCCGCTCAACCCTCCCGCACAACCCTGGAAAAAACCGCTAGGTCCGGGGAGGCAACACCCATTTCTGCAAATGTGCACACAGCCTTCTCACCGCCTGAGAATCCCATCTTCTTTTCTGCCCGGCACGCTAATGGGGGTGCAAATAACTTTCGCTCTCCCCCTCGAGGTAAGGAAAAGCAGCGGACCAGGCAGCAGCATCGGAGACACTTCTGGGGCGCTCTGAGGCAGTCGGAGGCAGCGACACTACATTGACCCCCAGGAAGACACTGCGAGAACTCTGCCAGGTTCACCAGAAGGGGCCGAACTTACGTAGAGGTGGCTGAACTGGGCTTCGTAGAAGTGCAGGGGAGTCTCCAGCTTCACCGCGGCTGAGCTTTCGTCGTCGCCTTCCTGCAGCAGCTGGTCCCCCAGCGACTGACCATAAGGGAAAAGCTCGCTTGAGTGCAGCGCAGCAGCCTGGGACGACAGCAGCAGCAGCAGCAGCAAAGGTAGCAGCGACGGCGAAGTGAGCGCCGGCCGCCAGGCCGCAGGGTCCCCCCGCATGCTCGCTCCCCCTGTGAGCTGCCCCGCCGCTGAGCGCGTCCCGGCCGGGCCAGCGGGTGCACTAGCCTCGCCGCGCCTAGCTCCAACCTGGATCCCCGCGGGCGCCCGGGTGGGGCGGGATTCAGGGCCTTCCGAGCGCGCTGACTGGCTGCGGCCCTCGAACGGGAACCAATCACCTGCTCTGAGAAAGTTCGACAGTGGTCGCCACATCTGGTTCTTGTTAAAAGATTTCTAAGGCTGCAGTTTCAGGAGCGGCTGAGCTGGCGAGGTAAAAGTGCCTGGCCATGACATTCCCGAGCTGCTCTTTCTCCTCCTTTTCTGCTCCCCAAGAGCTCCCAAGGTCCTCCACCTTCCTGTCGGGGCTGCCCAGTGGTCCCCGCGAGCCCCGCCCGCGAAACCAAGAGGCTCATGAAGTCCGAAGGCGGCGGCGCTGCAGGAGATGACCTCAGCGCGCTGGAGGGGACCCGACCGCTGCGGATGCAGCTGCTGGCTGGCGAGATGTGCCCCACCAGACTGGCAGGGCGAGGGTGTGGTGATGGATTAAGGTTTGCGTGTGCCTTCCTAGTTCTGGGGCGGAGAAGCAAAGAGGCACGGTCGCAGAGGCAGCCTCCAAGGCTCTCATTCCACCAGAGACGCCCTGCGGAGAACCGCGCCTTTCTACCAATTCCGCCCCCTTCCTTGGGAGGTCGGGGCCCCACCGAGAAGGTCCGAGGGACTTGGGCAAAATGTCCGCCTGTCTTGGTCAAGGACACCTTCCTCCACCTTCCTCAGGGAAAAGCGTACCTGGGAAGATCGGGAAACGCTACTTTGTGTGATTTGCTCGGCTTGGGGCGTTGGAGAAGCCTTTCCTTTGGGGACCAAGCAAACATGAGCCAGGAGCCGGGTGGAGGTGACCTTGGGTCTTAGCGCTGGCTGTTACCCACGTGGAGCTGCCCTTGCTGCAGGCGGTTAGGGAAGGTGGTAACCTGAGATGCTTGTTGGAATTGGAAACACAATCCCCAAAACAGTTGCGCGGTGTGGGGGAACCCCATCCACCATAAACATCCCTTCTGCAGAGTGTCAGAGCTGGCGGAGATTTTATTGCCGTCTTTATTAATAAGAGCTTGAAATTTCCCAGATAGTCTGTTTTCTCTGTCGAATCCCCCATGGGGTTCCTTGGAAACAAAGATATTTAAAAAGAAGGGAAAAAGGCAAACCCATAGTAATGCCTAAAGAAATGCTCAGAGACAGATTTTCTTTTTGTGTGGGTGTCTATTGCAGCTATGCAAATCCTTATGGGCACACTGGGATAAACTCCTCCTTATCAGACTGTGAGGCTGACACACAAAATAGAAAGTTGGCCCCAAGCAGTTTATTTCTTCATACCTTGGAGAGACATTGTATATTTTGTGTTAGACAAATGTACATGTGCTTGCACATATATGGTCTCCTTTCCTTGGGGGTGAGTATTTTCATTTCACTAAGGAGGTAATTGCTCAAAGATGGTCGGTATTGGCGCCTTGTTACTCCTTTGACTTTTTCACATAGAGAACATAGAGGTAATAAGCATAGTGGGTCAACTTCCCCTACAGTAGCCAGAGAGCGCCATACATGAGTGTTCGACCCTTGTACAGTTCCCTCGACCCTCTTACAGTTCCCTCTCCTGGAGTGTTGGCTGACCTACTGACTCCTAACCCATAAAATGTGGCAATAGTGATGACAAGTCACTTAAGTAAAAGACTCATCTGTTTTGCCAGTTGACTCACGGGCTTTGATGAAGCAAACTGCCGCGTTAGGGAGGCCCACAAGACAAGGAACTGAAAGCAATTTCTACCCAACAGTCAGCAAGGAAGTTACTTTGGAAGAGAATCCTTCCCCATTCATCTTGGAATGACCCCCCACCCCCACCCCGCCCCTTGATCCTATGCAGCCTCATGCGAGACCCTAATACAAAGGACACCTTTGAAGTTGGGCCACTTAGGCCCCAGATTATAAACCCTCCGGATGAGAATTTAATAAATGTGTTTTTTAAAAAAAGATTTATTTATTTATGCATAAAGAACTGGGATACAGGCCAGAGGTGCAGGGGCAGCGAAAGGATTCACCAGAGACAGAGTGGGGAGCAGAACAGGCAGATCAACAAAGTACACTGCTGAGGGGAGCAGCGGGTGGGTCAGGAGAGGTCTGCCACACCAGGTGGGTCACCTCCGGGGCAGGACTCAAACTCATGCTGAAGTGGCTTTAGCTTCTTAGTGCAGTGCTTTAACCCGCTGTACAACGGGGGGGTGGGGGGGGTGGGGGTGGGGATGGGGGGTCCCTAAATGTGTTGTTTTAAGCCATGATAGTTTGGGATAATTTATCATGCAGTCATAGATAAGTGATACAGCAAGACACTGTGCAAGGAACAGCAAGACACTGTGCAAGGAAATTTAGGTTTAGAGAGTTTAAAAGAAAAATCCATTATGTTACAAATTATATGGCTTCTAAATACCAAAACTGGAATTAGAACTCAATTTTGATTCCTGAATTTCTGCTCATCAGCACTAAATCATATTGCTCCTTGACCTGTTATAAAATAGCTTGAGCCTATCTCTAGCATCATCTCTATCCACAGATACCCCTCAGCTAAGACTGGCTCTCAAATACAACATTCTGTTTTACAGTTTGAAACATGCCCACATGCTAGTCCCTGTATCATGTATTCCCCAGTCAGTCTCATCAAGCCAATGTTTATTCCTGCTTCAAGACTTGAATGACAAACTTTCTCCTTCAGGAAGCTCTCCTGGAAATCACAGTCTAGTATAAATCCTTCTCTTGTTCCTTGTTTCCTGTGCTTGCCACTGTCAATAGTTCCAATGCTGTATCTCCCATAACCCCATAATCTATGATCCTCACCTGTACTCTCCATACACTATCTTGAGGACCTATGTCTATCTATTGCAAAGCCTGCTTGGCTCATTGGAAGAAGCCTAATGAAATGTTTGCTGAATGAGTGCAACTGAATAAGCCAACCTGGATTTCAGATCCATGTCTGCTGGCGCCAATAAAACATTCTTTCCCTGACGCCACCTTTCCTGCAAATCTGATATGAGTTTTATAATCCTCTTTCCCAGGCTGCCTAGCAACTCATCTAACAATACTCTCTGGTTTTGGTCATTCTTTCATTCACTCATCCATTTGACAATGATTTCCCTGCAAGTTTACCAGGACAAACACAACTCTGCAAGAAATAACTGAGCACAAGATGTGACCCATGACCTTAAGGAGCTCACAGCTTGGTTGAAAAAACAAAGCATAAATATGAAATAAAGGAGCCACACTGCAGTAGAACATGCATTTAATAGCAAAAGGGGGCCCTTGAACCAAGAGGATGTCGCTGTTTTGAATCTGATGTTATCTGAGTACAAAGAAGTAGATCCAATGGGGAAGAGGCTGAAGTGAGCAGCTCTGCCTCTGGGCTGCACAAAGTGGCCAAATTCTCCTTGAAATATGAGGCTTTGGCCAGCTGTGTCTGAATAGACATTCCTTTGAGCTCTTACTCTAATATTATTTTTTTAAAGACTTTGTAGCACCCAAAGACTGGTTTCTTCAGTTTTGGTTTCTTCTTTTGCATGACTTTTTAAAATGTCACTTTGTGTCTTGGGGAAAAGAAAAAATCTGTCATAGTCATTTCACTGGTCAGAGTAAATACTGAAGAAATAGCTCTCTTGTATCCACAGCTCCAGAGTAGAATTTCCGGGATCTGCCAGACTGGCAACTGAAGAAGAGAGGCCGCTTTCAGGCCAGAGGTTATGAAGGACTTCTTCTGTAGTGGTATTTACCTCTCCTTAGTGGTTCTTTACAGTCAACCTGGGCACTAGGTAAGATTGCTGAGATGTAAGACTTTTCAACCCAAGCCAGAGATGACACCAGACACCTTGCCAGCAGACCTTAGCTATGTTTCTGGTACAAATACCAAGACTTCAAGAATGATGATACTTCCTGTTATTTTAATGAAGGGAATGAAAACACATTTGCTCAATATTGTGACAAATAGATGTTGGTATTCAAGAGCAAATTCTATGAATAGCATTGACTGGTGTGTGTACATGTTTGCCCTGGAGGTGGGCTTGGCAAAAGAATGTCCTGGTTCTTGTTGTACACAGGGATTCTTTGCATGACTTTATTATCCATTAAAATCCCAGGTTGTGTATACTAGCATGTAGACAAAATAGAGTTGTCAATATTAGCATGTCTTCACAGGTTTAATGAAAATTATGTTAGGTCTAAGAAAAACCATGTACTACTCAGAAATTTTTAGTGGTTGGGATATATTTAGAGGTCATTAAATTACAGGATGTCCCACCTACAAGCCAACAACCTCCAAATATATCTAAGTTTTTTAGGCTTCACTTGAGTTTTTAATTTATTCCCAACTCCCCGCTGAACACTCCCTTGGGATGACACCTCAAATCCACATCTACGAAAAGAGATCCAGTACTCAGAACTCTGGAGTTTTTAGTTTCATTTAATGATAACAGCACTTGCTTCTTTTTTTAAACTACCATTTCATATCTCCCTCATCTCTCACCTGCTAGTTTTTGCAGTCCAAGCCTATAAATTAAGAGGTCACTGTGTCCCCAGCTTCCCTTGCAGCTAGACTGGCTATCTAGAACTGGTCCTGACCTAACTCCCATAGTTTGCCTGAAGTCTGGTGCTTTCTGGGAGGGTTTTAACATTGGCGATTTAGTGGAATGCTTGCATTTTCCCCATTCTTGCTGCCTTAAATGTGAATGTGATGTTTTGAACTTGGAGAGCCACCTTCTGATGACCAGGTGACAACTATGAGGACAAAAGCACAACAGAACAAACAGACTGGAGATGAAAATCTAAGCCCAGTAGTAACTTCCTGCATCTACACATTTGGCTACATGAAAAAACAAACCTCTGTTGGCTTATGTCATTGTTACATGCAGCAATACCCACTCCTGACACTTCGCTAAGTCCTTTCTCTTAATGTATCTGAAACACAACCTGACCACAGCATGCCTAAGATTCACCCCTGCAGAGTGGATCACCCTCACTGTAGAGTGAATTTTAAGCTATCTAGGAGGGCTAAAAAGGCCCCTGTGACTTGGCCTCTGTCTGTCACCTCCTATCTTTAC